TTATGATGGGAGTGAATGGAGTCTGAGATTTTCATAAAAGTAATCCATAAAAGTAATCCATACGCCTCCAGGGGTTAATAAAGGCCTTCTGAAGCACAGCCGTGCGTCTGTGTGAGAATCATACCCATATTTACTAGGGGTGTAACAATATTCGAACCGAACCGAAAACCCGCGATACAGAACTCATGATTCGAATCGCGATACTCTCATTGGGTACCGAACACGCCCCGCCCCCTGCTACCCCAGCCCCGCCCAACCCGACTCAATGGACCTCATGTCTTATGTGTAACAGTACACAATATACTCAGTTTTGTAGTCTAACCACCATTAACACCAAATAACAAGTTCCGTGTTTTGTTACTTTCGGTAATAAGCAAGGTGTAATCTTTCAAATTCTGTCTATTTGATCATGAAATAAATCTGAATTTAGGTTAAAAGTCTAGGCTACAACCTTCACCGACGCGTAAAAGCGTCATTAAAAAAAAAAAAAAACCGCCTCGGGTTCATTTTTTTATTTAGACGTGCCGCGTCAAAAAATATACGACCAATGAGATAGGCGCTTTTGCTCACGTCTTTGGAGCTTCTGAAGTCACAGTAAAACACAACTTGGGGGCGCTCAAACACAAAACGCTCTTGGCGAGTACACATACGTAACGGCGAAGAAGATCTACGCCAAGTAGCGTCGCCGTCTACACAGCCAGGAAGAAATAAGACGAGGAAGATGCGAGGCAAGATGAATGTAGAGCCGCTGGTCTCGTTGGTGTCAGAACATAAAGAACTATGTGACAAACGCGACAGCGACTACAAACATCTTGATAAAAGAGAACTGATATGGAGTGGTATTACAGAGGAAATCGTGCGCCATCTAATGTCAGGGAATGAATTTGCATGTTCACTCGGCTCATCGTCAGCGAAAATGGCTTGGGTGTGAACACAAAAAAAACTCGTTGAAAACCGCCAACGCATTCTCATCCTTTAACGTCATATAGAACGCTATATGCAAAAACGGCGCTATACTACGCACATGGCACCCTTTATCGTTGATATAACACGCGAACCCAAGACGTCATAAATCCTTTAGCGTGAATATGACACGCAGACCCTACCCCACACCTAAACTTAGCCCTCACAGTGCGTGTTATATTAACGATAACGGGTGCCATGTGCGTAGTATAGCGCCGTTTTTGCATATAGCGTTCTATATGACTTTAAAGGATGAGAACGGGCTGAAAACGCTGACGAATAACGCGCGCTGATATTCGTCCCGGTGTGTACGAGCCTTTACACCCCTAATATTTACAACTTTATCAAATATACTCATCCATATAATGCATAAGGATTACTTTTATGATGGATGGATGCACTTTTATGTGCACTATTCACTCCCATCATAAAGCTGGGAAGAGACTCGATATTTTTTCAGATTATATTCGTCTGAAAGATACACCTAGGCTAGGATGGCTTGAGGGTGAGGAAATGATGGGATAATTTTAATTTTTGGGTGAATGGCATGATCAAATCCATAAGAAACCATTGCGAATACAAAGAGCACGTGTATCTAACCCCGGCCCTGCTCTTCCCTCCAGGACCTTGTGAAAAGCCATCTAATGTACGCAGTGCGCGAGGAAGTGGAGGTCTTGAAGGAGCAGATCAAGGAGCTCTACGAGAGGAACTCGCTTCTGGAGAGGGAGAACGCAGTATTAAAATCGCTGGCCAACACGGAGCAGTTGACCCAGCTCACCTCGCAGAACAACATCCCCGGGAGCTCGTCGCCCCAACAGACGCCAGCCAACGCACTCCTGCAGGACGGGGGCGAACTCGTGGCCTTGCCCCCGCAACCCAACGTGTCCACGGCGTGAAGACCTCAAACGTGGGGCTCCGGAGACTCGCATAAAAACAAAACTAAAACCTGCAAAGGAGATTTTCGTTTGCCACTCGTGGAGAGCCACGCTTCGACTATCCTCGCTGCTTGGCTTTCCCAGTATTAGACAATCATTTTGGGAGAAGCAAATTTGGTTTGGCTCTTAAGATTGCCGTTTGGTGCAGGCGATTGGGAAGGAGTTTGGTGGAAAAGAAAGAAGAGGAGATTTAGCTGGAAGCTAGCAATGGAAATGGAGGGTAACTAGCATGGAAAAGCTTGGGTGATCGGTGTGTTTTCCAGAGCCGGCGTGCATGATTAAGTCCTTTCATCTGTTTAGTTTTACTGTTTGCATATATTTATTAGAGGGCTGCTATTTTCATAATGTAAATTGAACAATGTAACAGAGGTCTATTATATGTCTTTGTATATAGAAATATATATATATATATATATATATATATATATTAGGGCTGTCAAACGATTAATCGCGATTAATCGCATCCAAAATAAAAGTTTGTGTTTACATAATATATGTGGGTGCACTGTGTATAATTATTTAATATATATATAAATACACACACATGCAAAAAAATATTTATATATAATATAAATATATATATACAGTATATACAAGCATGTGTGTGTATTTATATATATAAAATAATTATACACAGTGCACCCACATATATTATGTAAACACAAACTTTTATTTTGGATGCGATTAATCGTTTGACAGCCCTAATATATATATAAAACATAAACTTTCTTTGGGTTTCTGAAATGTAAGATAATAAGTTTTAGGCAATAATGTCCCCATGGCACAGTTCCAACACTAAAGGTGATTCAACAACGACGCTGATGCACAAGTCCTGTACAGGCGAATTGGTTTTGGGGGTTTGAATGTACATTTGTATAGATTGTAAAGTATTATAAGTATAGCCAGTTGTACAGGTGAGCATCAGTTATCAAGTATTTTTTCTGTTGGATTGTATTTCCCTGAGTACTTAAATTTTTATTTTGAAATCTGGGAAGGGGGCGGGGAAGAAGCTGTGAATTTGATCATATTTGTAACCAAAGAAGAAAAGCTGTGTAAATTCGTTTTGCTTCGCACATTTTCTCGCTCGCGTTTTTCTTTAAACGATTTTTTGTTGCTGATTAGCATGTTCTGCACACGATCTATCAGACCATTTTCTTACCTCATGCTTTTTTTCTTTTTCATTACAATACCTTAAGCAGTCTGTGAATGATGTTTGGTCTCCTGGAAAGTGAAAAGTCCCTGCAATGCCCAAACAAAAAAAAAAGTGAGCCATCTGTTCTCATTCGCAACTTCATATACAGACAAATGTTTATTAAATTGCAGAAAATGTACAAAATAAATGACCATTTATATTCCCAGGTGTAGTTTACACTGATCACTATTCTGTCAAAGAATTAGTCATCATCAAAAATAAAAGCCACAGTTCACAGATATCATTTAAAGTCATTTATCTATAAGGCATATGTCCTTTGTTTATGTCTTTTGTGCCTCTTGCACTATTGATGCAGCGATCTGGTTTATTTCTTATTTTATTTTTGTTGCCCAGTTTGAGCCAAACAGAAATCTTGTACAATCAATGTACATTGGTCTGATTTTTTTTTTTTTTAAGGTTTGCTTGGTTTTCTTTTTTGTTGAAGGAAATGTAGTATACAAGCAAAATGTATTGTACTTGATCACTGAGCCTTTGAGAATATCTTAAGAAACCCTTGTAATGTGCTGTTTGAAACGTTTAGTTTTCTGTCAGAAATAAATTACTGTTCCATTGAGAACTAGACCATTTTAAATGTGTTCTAATATTCTTGTGCATAACACACACACACACACACACACACACATACACACCTTTACAAGCCAACCATTCACTAAAGGATTTACTTAGAAGAAAGTTTGTCCTGTGTGTAAGACTTTGGTTTAAATATGTTTACTGTATACTGACATAAATTGCTAACTTTTTAAAGATGAGTTTCTCTCTCTCTCTCTCACACACACACAAAGAATGATATTGTTTTAAATGATAAATGAAAAGTACAGTACAAGAAGAGGTTGTTCACTCTACGCATCACAAACTTCAATTGTTAGAGAATAATATAATATAATATAATATAATGCAGTATTAGGGAATAAGTTGGATTATTAGAGAATAATTCAACTGACTGGAGTCAATTATTATAGGCTAGTCAAGTAGGTGGGTCAACATTTGAAGTGGATCAAAAACAAGTTAATCAAATTTGTCCTAAGACAAGAACGGGACATCAACTAAGACATCAACTTTGATGAAAGTTTTGATCCACTTCAAATGTTGACATATCATATTATATTATATTATATTATATTATATTTTGATGTAGTGACTGGTTGCATAGCTTGCAAAATCCTAGATTCATAACCTTCAGAAGCGAAATGTAAATATCCGGCCCTTGGCTCTAACTGTCATGCAAAGAGTCTGATTTTCCTGTGTCAGCTTGGTATGACTCGCGGGATATCTCCTGTAGTAGTTCAGTGTCAGTAGTACTAAACCTATTGACATCAACACACCTTACAACATTTAGAAAATATTGTTGAACAGCGCCACCGTGTTGTCAACATGAGGCACTATCAAATATTTGTTTGAACAACTAGTAATGTTAACAACAGAGTACAAGTTGAAAAAAAAAAAAAAACAATTTCGTTTTTAAAGTTTCGTTTCTTTCTCGTTTTCTCTTTACTTGGGATAAAATATGTGTTCCAGAAGAATATTAGTTTAGATGGACATTTCACTGGTCCTTTTATTTATCAAGTCAAATCCACAATTTCAGTTTAGTTGTATTTTGCTGGTGTTTAACGTTACATTTACTGGGGTGAATTTACACATAATATATGGATCATTTCTCAAATAGCCATTTTTTGTCAATATATATATATATAGGTTTTATTATATTATATTCAAAAGCTTATCAAACTAGTTCTGGATATAAATGAGGAACCCTAACAAGGACATTCAAATGTACCAAGATAGTGCATATGCTTTTGCTTTTAATCCATAAAATCATCCATTTCACCTTTATTTTGAAAATATAATCTGCCTCCGCTATTTCAAGAATGCACATCCGGTCAGAGCTTTGATCTGACGTCACATCCGCCTATCTTGTTATGGTGCGGGACGCCCAGTGGAAACACCTACTACCTGTCCGGATACTTTCTGTGTTTAAATCGGACCTAAAGTCCAAATCAAGCCGTTTCCTGGGGTGGAGATGGAAATATCCGTGGAGGCGGAAGATGGAGAGCGCAGGTAAATAAAAACGACTGATATTGACAACAGTCCTGAGTTTGACAGCTAGACCCACAGCTGTAGTTTTGGAGATTATTGTGCTCATTTAAGCAGTTTTAGCACCTCTTACTCCTCTTTAAATATATTTTTAAGAACATTTAACTGATATATGTGAAATAACAATCCTGTTTGCTGATAAAGCTATCGATTGCAGCTTTCAAATGAGCTAGCCGGCTAGTGCAGTTGTAAATCCTACTATGGTACAGACGTTTCTTTTGAATATTAAGTACGTCACGAGACGTTTTTCATCAATGCTATCATCCGATTGGCTGAACGGTGGACATTAGTAAGTGGCGGCAGTCAGTTCTGCAGAATCAACCAATGGAAGACGCTCCCGCAAGAGTTGGAGTGTGACGTAATTAATATTAATGAGGCAGACCCGCTTCATAGTGCGATCCAGCATCGTATGTTCTAGCAGGTTTCGTCCAGCAGACCGACTTAAAAACAACAAATGACAACAACAGTCTTGTGACTCGCTCACAATTAGCTGTGAAATAGCAGACGTAGCCGCGAAATTTAATTTTATGCTTCTATTTTTGCACAGATTTTTCTCCGACGAAGAGCCTCCAAAAACTCACACTCATAAAATGACATAACCTAATCTAATTTTGGCTCATAATAACCTGATTAAACATAAAAAAAAAAAACAACAACAACAAGCACAGTGTATGTAATTACAATGGAACTCATGTATTTTAAAAAATAATATACTAAAGTGTGAAATTAATTAAATGTTTTTGGGTACTTAATTGCAGGTTCATTGCAATAAAATTAAAATGTGTTTTATTTATTATTATGTATTATATTTTGCCAGTTTTATCTTTTGAATTTGACGTGGTCAACCTTAGTCTGCCCACCCTTTTAAGGAAAATATCAAAATAGTAAAAAAAAAAAAATAAAAAAAAATCATATGTTTAATGTAATATTATTTAATCATATTTAGGGCTGGCAAACGATTAATCACGATTAATCACATCCAAAATAAAAGTTTATGTTTACATAATATATGTGGGTGCACTGTGTATAATTATTTTATATATATTATATAAATACACACACATGCTTGTAAATATTTAAGAAATATTTTATGTATATACTGTATATAGATTTATATATAATTTATATTATATATGAATATAAATATTCTATATATATATAATATTTTTTTTTCTTAAATATAAATGCATGTCTGTGTATTTAAATATATGCACAAAATAATTTTACACAGTGCACCCACATATATTATGTAAACACAAACTTTTATTTTGGATGCGATTAATCGTTTGACAGCACTAATCATATTTGATAAACCTTGTTTTTGCTCATTGGCTGGTTTCATGTCAGAATACCCACCCTGTTTAATCAGAAGAGACGACAATGATTGTGAAAGTAATTTATGTTTAAAGTTGAAGAAGTGTATTTAAATTTCATTGGCAATGTTTTACATATTGTTTCCCAGGGAAGTAAAATAATGGCAAATGTTTTTGAAACAAAAAAGCTTTTGTAGAATTGCACAACTTGAAAAATATGCATTGCATTAACCGTGCTTGCATGGATGTATATTTAAGCTGTGATTATTTCAAATGCAAAACATTTTACACACATTTTCATTATTAAAAATTCAATAATCCATATTCAGATTTAACTTCCAAAATATTCCTTCTGTCTGAAAAACAGACCCTATAATTTTCAACAGACAATTTTCAGTCCATTTTATTTCGCTTTACAAATTCAGTGGTTAAAATTCTACAGCAAATTAAACATTTCATATTATCTTCTAACTTTTTTTTTCCGGTCACTTCAGCTTGTGACAGGTGTTTTACTAAGGAAAATGTGCGTGAAATGTTTGGAATTGAAATATTCACAGCTTAAATATACAACCATGTTAAACTTAAAAAAAAAAATGCAAGTCCTAAAAATAAAAAAGATTTAAAATGCAAACACGGCTAATTCAATGCATATTTTTTTCTTCCATTGTTTGTTTCCCATCTAAATCCAGTTGTAAAATTGTAGCTGGTTGTACGTGAGCGATAGGAAATTATCAAATCCTTCCAATCTGTTATCAATTTGTCCACTCTGTTGTAGCGGAGGGACAATAAATCAGTACATTGTGAATCTCTGTTATCATTTTTTCCACCATTATCAATTTTTCCACCCTGTTATAATTTTTTCCACCCTTTTATATTTTTTTCCACACTTTTATAATTTTATTTCCACCCTATTAACATTTTTTCCACCCTGTTATTATTTTTTCACCCTGTTATAATTTTTTCTACCCTGTTATCATTTTTTCCACTATTATCATTTTTCCCCATTGCCATTTTTCCACCCTATTATCGTTTTTTTCCACCCTATTATCATTTCTTTTTACCCTGTTATAATTTTTTTCCACCCTATTATCATTTTCTACCCTGTTATCATTTTTTCCATCCTATTATCATCTTTCTCCATTATCATTTTTTTTCCAACCCTGTTATCATTCTTTCCACCCTTTTATAATTTGTCCACCCTATTATCATTTTTTCCCTGCCTGTTATAATTTTTCCACCCTATTATCATTTTTCCCCTTTATCAGTTTTTTCAACCCTGTTATCATTATTTCCACCCTGTTATCATTCTTTCAACCATGTTATCATTTTTTCCACCCTATTATCATTTTTTCCACCCTATTATCATTTCTTTTTACCCTATTATAATTTTTTCCACCCTATTATCATTTTCTACCCTGTTATCATTTTCCCACCCTATTTTATTTTTTTCCACCCTATTATATTTTTCCCACCCTGTTATCAGTTTTTCCACCCTATTATCATTTATTTTTACCCTGTTATAATTTTTTCCACCCTATTATCATTTTCTACCCTGTTATCATTTTTCCACCCTATTATATTTTTCCCCATTATCATTTTTTTCAACCCTGTTATCATTCTTTCCACCCTTTTATAATTTTCCACCCTATTATATTTTTCCCCATTATCATTTTTTTCAACCCTGTTATCATTCTTTCCACCCTTTTATAATTTTCCACCCTATTATAATTTTTTCCGCGCCTGTTATAATTTTTTCCACCCTATTATCATTTTTCCCCTTTATCATTTTTTTCAACCATGTTATCATTCTTTCCACCCTGTTATCATTTTTTCCACCCTATTATCATTTTTTCCACCCTGTTATAATTTTTCCCACCCTATTATCATTTTTGTCCCAACCCTGTTATTGTTTTTCCACCCTATTATCATTTTTTTCCACCCTGTTATCATTTTCCCCCCATTATTATTTTGTCCACCCTATTATCATTTTTCCACCCCATTATAATTTTTTTCTAACCCTATTATCATTTTTTCCACTCTATTATCAGCTTGTCCACGCAGTTTTTTTAACAATCATTTCTTAAAATCTACAAAAAAATCTACAATATTTTTAACTAGAGTATCAATTATGTTGTACTTTAAAAAGTTAACAAAAATGCCCTTTAGGGATTTGCATCTGTTACAATTAAATTTATTAGGTGCACTTCTTTTTCACAAGAGAAGAAGCACTCCTGTGACAATAGTGTTGCAGTGTGAGGCATGCTATGTGTTTATAAATATGTAGTAGCAATTTACACGTGTGTCGTTTTAGATGGGAACTCTGGAAACTTCTGTCGAATCTGAAGACGACTGTTGAAGGGCTGCTGTCAACCAACAACCCTAACGTGTGGTCCCGCTACGGGGGTCTTCAGCGCCTGCACAAGGACATGAACAACATCCTGGGCCATGGCCTCAAACAAGAACAGGTGTGCTAAACACTAGATCACATGTGTCTGTGTTTCATGAAAATCCTGAGGAAACCCCAGGAATGTGTCCTCAGCAACAGCCTCATTTACCAGGAACTATTAGACACTAAACGCCTCTGACTGATCAAACAAGGAAGAATGTTTCTCACTTTTTTGTTTGGAGATAAGAAATGGCCTTATGACCTTTCCAACCAGGAATGAGATAGTATTAGTTTACAGATTAACAACATGAAACCTCCATCAGGGTCATTATACAATATACAGTAGCTTTGAAAATCTCTAAGAGTTTTTATTTACTTAAAGTTGGAATGAAATAGGAATTCACTGTATCCTTTTTTCTGAATGCATGTTATTGAACTTATTGTGAATGATTTATCCATGAAAAGTTGAACTAGTTTACATTGCTTTTTTTTAAATCACATAGTTTTTATTTTAGTGTCAGTTTTTCGTCTAATTCAAACTTTTTGTTTACGACAGCTTTGACTCAAATGAGCAGACATTCCTGAATACATTTTTTTTTAACGTATGAATCATTACACTGTGGTGCAAGATCTAACTTGATTTTGTTTTGCAGCTTTACTATAAACAGAAAGACTACTGGCGTTTCGTGTGGTGTGTGCGGTATCTCTGCCCTCATCTCGCCCGTCACGTAGAACAGGTATCCGTCAATCCAATGCAAATTCCCCATTCAAAGGTAGTTATGACATCTTCAGCGACGCCTGACTCTCTTCCTGTGCAGTTCAGTCAGTTGGAGCCGGTGCTGAGCAGTGGCGTTCAGAGCGTCGGCGAGGGTCATAAAGCTGAGCGCTGGCTTTTACACAGTCTTCAGGGTCACATCTTATCCGCCCAGCTCAAACCACTGCTGCAACACAAGGCAAACACTCAGAAATACTACAATGGTATCTCAGCATCTGCCTAACATCATTATGACTTCATTATGATTATGACTATGACTAGCATTGAGGATTGTCATGTTCTGTAGATGTGGCCTTCCTGCTGAGTGAACCGCACGTGTCCGCCATGTTCCAGTGCCTGGAGGCGGTGGAGCAGAATAACCCTCGGCTGCTGGCTCTCATAGACACCGTCAGGGTCAGACATTTCACATTTAGCTTTTATATTCTTCTGTTCGAAGGCTTGTGCATTTAGAGCGGTGGTTCGCAAACATCTAACAGTGGCATTTAGCATCGTTCTGCGTCTCTTCTTTTCTATTAAAGTCCCCCGTGGTGAAAATCAAGCTTTTAATGTTGTTTACATACCTATGTGGTGTTTTTAATATGTTTTTAGAAGAACCATGTGTAAATTCGTAAGTCAACAGCATTGCTGAGTGTTTTCTCCTTAAAACCAAAAGACAGTCTCAGAAACACGGTTTGAAATCGCTGGTGTTTCTGACGTCACAAACGACCTCGTAACCAATCAGGTCAATGTGTGATCGTCAACCAGTGGATCTCTGAGCTGAGCGAGTGAGTGGAGGCGAGGCTCATTTGCATATTCATAGAACCACGCATACTAAATGAGGCAAGGGTGTCGAGTTATATTCAAGATATTTTAAGGCGTTTAAATATGTCATTTTGGTGATCAAAGGGATACAATGATACAACAAGGGTCAATAAGGGACAATATGAGCCCCCTTAAATTGATTTTCAGTTGCGTTTTAGCTACACTTTATTTTATATCAGCAAAACTCAGCATCTTGTACTCGTACTCCAGTTTGAGAACCACTGAATCTAGATGAAGTAGTTAAGCATAACAAAGAAGAACACGTTTTCCTACCAGAGATGGAAACTTTGTTCAAAAAGTGTCAGACCGCTTAGTTCAACAAAACAAATTTTTCTCTCTCAGCTAAACTACTGTAAACTACGGTCTGAAGAGAATTACGCTGAGCCAGTTAGTTCAAGTTAGTTAAACCATCAACAGTGGCATATACGAGCCCGATCTCATGTAAGTTCGTATCTATAGCACGAATGTCATTTTTCGTGCCATGTATACGCCAAAACTAGTTTTTCACTTGCATATGATACGCACTTTTTGGCGTATAATAAGTATGAACTCCCCACCCCCTTTCCCCCTAAACCTACCCAGGGGGTTTTCAGTGCATAGCATATGCACGCAAAAACCATTTTTGGGCGTATAAATGCCACGAGAAGTGACAATCGTGGTGTAGATACGCACTTTCATGAGACCGTGTTGGGCGTAGTTGATCAAGGGGTCATTTTTAGCCCCTGCTGGTAGATACCATAAATGCAAGATCTTACTTCAGTTTAAGTTACTTAGTTGAATTAAATCCTGTTTTTAAAGGGATACTCCACTGTTTTTTCATATTAGACTATGTTATTCCCTTAACTAAGACGAGTTGACGTATATCTCAATCGCTCTGGCGCGCGAGATAGCACTTTGATAGCACTTAACTAGCCCAGTTCATTCAATATGGGCCAAGCAGAAAAGCGACCAAACACCTCCACGTTTTCCCTATTTAAATACAGTTACACGAGTAGAGTAACTCGACCAAGCATTGATAAAACTCGATAAAACATTGCGCTTTTCTAAGCGTGTAAAGTGGATAACTACTAACTATATTACTGCGCCGAGTCGAAGTGCTGTGGTACCACTTGCTGTGGTATTCCGCCATACATTATAGTTATCCACTTTACACGCTTAGAAAAGCGCAACGTTTTATTTTGTGTCACCGTCCTTGGTCGAGTTACTCTACTCGTGTAACTGTTTTTAAATAGGGAAAACGTGGAGGTGTTGGTCGCTTCTCTGCTTGGCCCACATTGAATGAACTGGGCTAGTTAAGTGCGATCAAAGTGTCTCGCGATTGACGAACTCGTCTTAGTTAAGGGAATAACATAGTTTAATCTAAGAAAACGGTGGAGTATCCCTTTAAGCAGTCATGGTTTGGCTGGTTAGCCCCTTCTGGGAGATACCACCACAACAACAACATGTTAGTTAACATGTTTATAGCTAGCTAGCTAGCTAGTTGAATTAATCTTGTTTTTCAGCAGTCATTGTTTGGCTGGTTAGCATAGCCATTTTCGACCCTTCTGGTAGATGTAAGCTATATTACTTAAATTTATGTTAGTTGAACTTTAAGCCAAGCCAGTTTGGCTTGTTGGCATAGCCCTTTTAGCCCCTGGTGGTGGATACCATAACAACACCATCTTCATTGTCGGCCATTCAAACATAGGCATTGTATGTCAATGTCTTGTGTTTCTTGTGTTTTTCAAGCTTTCACATTTGAAAGAGTCTCCTCCGCTGTGTTTGCTGAAGAGCCAGAGTCTGTGTCTGCTGCCCGGGGCCGTAGGATGCTGGAGGTCTGCGGACGTCTCTCAACCCCGAAGACTCGTCTCGTCCCAGAGCTGCCTCGCAGAGATTCCCAGCACCCCCCTCTCCCAGTCCAGCTCAGGTCAGCAGATCCACAGCCAGAACAACAGGCCGCTCTGTGCCTCCATTACCACGCTAAATGCTTGCCTTGTTTAAACTCAAAAATGTCCCGGACAGAAACAGTCCGTTGTTTGGCGGGGAGCACTGGGATGGAAGGTGGGCTGTTTGCAATGCTTGCGGTGAACGAATTTGACCGCTCCTCAAAATCACAGTGAATCTCTTTGTTTGTGTTGAAGATGTTGCCCCGTCCGGCAGTGCTCCGGGTGCCCCATGGGTGTGCGGGACTGGACATCCAGACGCAGGAATCCCGCAGATCTCCTTCACCGAACCGGCTCCGCCCGAGATCCTCCGGGATTGTGTGGAAGCGGATCTGGACGACGGGCCTGAATATCTGGCGATTGGTAATCTGGGGAAGCACAAGCGCCGCGACTCGTCGAGCTCCACACAGAGCAGCGAACACATGGGCACTCAGGCCGACGCCCACACCCCTGTGGCTCCGCCCCCTCCACGCCGCAGCTCTTTCTCAGAGGCTCCGCGATCCACGCTGCGCCGCTCGAAGGGACACATTCGGTCGGTGTCCGACACCGGTCTCAACCAGAAACTGAAAGCTGGTGCGTACGAACGGTTGCATTCATTGGGTTTAACTATAACTAGAAAACAACGTTTATTAGCGTAAAGTCCGTTCGCATCAAGAACGACAACTATGGCAATAACGATAACTGAAGTTTTAATAATCATTCAAGTTCTATGAGAATAGCGATGTCTAAACCACAACTGTAATGAATGAGTTTTTCCAGCTGGTGAACTGCAAAAACATTGACAGCCAATCAGAATCCACCTGTACTTTAAAGAGGTTTAGCATGAAATTGATGAAGATAACGTTAGCGTGCGCTTATCATAAACAACGCTTTATAGTATAGTTATCGATATAGGCATCATAATTTGTTTTTTTGCATGTTCAAATTCTTGTTTTATGCTTCAGTTATTAAACGCTTTACAATGTGTTCTTGGAGGGTTCATTCAGATAATTAATTAGGAAATAATTACTAATTTGTGTTATCACTATGCTTGGAATTATAGCAATAGAAATATTTAGTTTCTCCTGATTTTATGTGTATTTAATTATCTTATTTGAATTAGGATGTTGTCTCTACTTTATTTGCTGAATATTATTATGTTGCCCATGTTTAATAGTGTCAATATAGTAATTCAGCTTGTTAGATGTTTGTTAGTGTAGCTTGTTATTATTATGCAACAAAAGCGATAGCTTTATTATAACCTAAAGCCAGTCAGAATATCTCATATTCACTTACTTAAAGCTACACTGTGTAACTCTTTTAGTTTATTCTTAGCTAAAAACACTTAAAAAAATATATGAGCTCATTAATGTATATTTACTTCGTTCAAGTAATAAAGTATTCTCGTGAGTGTATAATATGCCATTGAAAATACATACGGGTAAGGGGTTCTAATGTCGGTCGCCATGTTGCCCCTCCATCTTGAAAGTACATTAGCCAAAGAGGGACATACCCGTTAATTCAAGCTTCGCCTTTTCGTGTTTACGTCTGAGTTAACACTCATGGACGAGGTCGAACTGGAAGCCATGTTAATCTTGGACCTCATTGGCGTTAAAACGAAATCGGAATTTGAGAGGAACAGAAACTAACATTCGCTGGATGATCCTATACCTTTTCACCACTAGATGGAGGTAAAAATTACACAGTGTAGCTTTAATATAATAAAATAAGAATAAATAAAATACATTTTTGCAACATTTCATTCAAATGTAAAGAAGTGCAAGAATCTCAAACCATTTTTACATGAATAATTTATTTCCTGATGTCTAAAATCAAATCCCATTCTAAGTTTTGTGTTTACGTGTTTAACCCTAAAACCGTTTTCTGGACAAATGTGGGCAAAATAGTTTTGATTTATTTTTAAAAAATACTTCCCTTGATCTGAGCGTTACAAGACTTGGCTACTTTTCCTAAGTTTGCCTCGTGAACACACACAATTTTTTTGACTCAATTCTACAAGGTTAAGTGGGTAAAAAAAACTCCTTAATCTTGTATTTGGGTCAAAAATGGGCACCCATAGAAATGAATGGGAAAAACTGTAATTTAGAGCATTCATAAGACACCAGGTGACAGAAAAGTCACTTCATCTTTAGGTTTTAGCTCTAAGAACTTATTGGAATAATATTTTAATGTAGTTAAAAATGTTTAAAAATAAAACATAAAAATAAGCATAATTTACATAGAAAATATGGTACTTTTTGAAGAAAATAAATTCAAAAATTAAAAAAAAAAAACACCATAAATGGATAGACAAAACTTTATCGAAGACAGTGATATAACATTAATAATAAATAAAAATTAGGATCACACCTGAGTCCTCTGTGCCCACATTTGTCCACAATTACAGGATTAAGGGCTATAAAGTGAATACGGTTTGAGGGTTACACTGTAAGGGTTGTGGTTTCTTGATCACTCAGTTTAACGATCTATTGAAATGATGATTAGCTTGATTTAAATTTCAAAATGGCTTCCCCAACAGTGCATGTGAAGACAAAAGTAAAGCACAAACACACTGAAAGGATCTCCAAGTGTTGCTACTTCCTGCTGTAGCTCTTGTGCTCTTTCGTCTAGCTGTGGATGATTCTCTGCTTCAACTCTATTCTCTCTCTTTCTCTCCTCTGTATGTAAAGGAGGTGGTCACAGGAAAATCACCATTATTATCGAGGACCCTGCCGCAGGTTCGCAGTGCCGTGGTGCTGCATCTTGTCCACCCCTCATTTCTGCTATCCTTGCATGACTCACTTTTGCCGCTTTTTATTTTGATTCTCTTTTTTTCTTCAGCCTTCAGCATCATTTGCATTCCTGTCCTGTGCCGTTTCAGTTTGTTCTCATTTCTATGTAGTGAAAATACACCGCTGTGCCTGGGAAGTTTTTGTGTGTTTTTTTTTTCTTTGCATATTTTTTCCGTTCTGTTATTGATTAGACGCATTCAAGCACTTGTTGTGTAGATCTACATTATCATTGGTGTTTGTTTATCATCATGGATCAGATCCTGCAACCAGGAAGAAGCATGTGTTAGCTTCCTTGTCCTATATAACATATTTGTTCATAATTGGTGTGATGTTTTTCTGCATTTTTTTTCCCCAGAATCTGTTGCGGCTACACCATGTTTGAAGAGCGACGGCCCTTTCTCGCCCCAGAACAGCGACAGCGGCTCCCACAGTTCACTTTATATGGAGTCCAGTGAGTGAACGCAGCTTTCATGGGTCAATGACCTGATGCTCTCTATCTATTCAGAGTAAATACTGACAGAATTTTCATTTTTGGGTTATCTAACCCTTTAACATGCTTTTTTTTAATCGCCTCACATATATTAGTGATCATAAATTAAAAGCTTAAATACTCAAAATTCATCCTGTGAAAAGTATTTTGAATTTGGACATTGCGTGGTCATGGCCTTTTAGCGATCTCAAGTTTTTAAGATCTTCAAATTTGGAACACAACTTGGGGCGAGATTAGAGGTTAAACTAGATGTTTCCTTTTCTTTATTATGGACAATCTTATAAATGATTTAAAGTAAGCATGTCGTTGAACAAGCTTCCGTGCGTCCCTGCAGACGGCAGCCAGTACAGCGCCCCGGACGGGTTGTTCCGCAGGCCGTCCGAGGGTCAGAGTCTGATCAGCTACCTCTCCGAGCAGGACTTCGGCAGCTGTGCTGACCTGGAGAAGGTGAGTGCAAACTCCTCTCTGCGCTCAGCATTCCTCTTTCTCATCTTACTCATCTTCACAGCTCGCTTTCATATCCCCTCACTGCAGGAAAACGCCCACTTCAGCATCTCGGAGTCCCTGATCGCGGCCATCGAGCTGATGAAGTGTAACATGCGCAGGCGGGCCGAGGAGGCCGAGGAAGAGGGCGACAGCGACTCGGAGATCCAGCAGCTCAAGCAGAAAATACGCCTGCGCAGAATGCAGATACGGCGAACGCGGCTGAAGCCAACGCTTTCCTCTAATAATCGTAAGATGAGATGTTTAAGGCCCCGGGCGGCAGAGATATAGACCCCCTTTGCGCCGACGTCACAGTTCCGTCACGGCGCTAGCTGGAGGCAAAGCAAAGTTAAAACTGGAGGCGGCCAAATGCAAAACAGCACAGATTCGGCTACATAATAAGGAGCTTAAATAATTGTTACTATTATTAAATGTCATCTTATTGTGTTGTTTGGTCCAAGAATTGATGAAAATGAATATGCTGTATCTGGAACGTTTATTTCTATAAAATATTCACATCATTAAAAATCGCACTGTAAAGTCACTCTTTACATTGTCGTGGTCTCGGCGCTGGCTCGGCAGAACTGCGGATCGTACACACAAGTCTTGTACAGGCAAATATAGGCATCTAAAGATTTATATGCCCTCAGTTTCTCTTTACGATCGGTTTCTCTATAAGGTAGGTGTAGAAGTCAGGCCACTCAACCGAGGTAACGTAACGTTAATCCTGTCAGATCGTTCATGCGTTGAGTGAGCGTGTAGGCGGCTACTGGTCGGCCAATCTGGTTCCGTCCGTTAAAGATAACTTTTGGAAATAACAATCGCAGAGTGACCTTACTCATTAAGATAAAATCAGATTTTCTCCAGTCATAGTTAAAAAACAAGCTAACAATACTTGCTAACTAGCGTTAGCGAAGCGGCCAGAGGGATCTTTCTGCCTCCACCTAAGCTCCGCCCACAAAAAACGTCACCATGTTTGCCAACTGAAAAAGGGTCTATACTGTTAGTGAACATCCCGACGCTGCCGAGAGCGACGATTAGATCAATATGTAAATATGTGCTGCACGCTTCCCTCTCAATAACAAAAATGACAGCGGTGAGAAAACAGCAGTTAAGAAAGCACCTGATCATAGCGATGTGGAGGCTCTGCAATTGACCTATAGCTAAGCCACGCCCTCAAACGAGATGAGCCAATCATAGTGCGCAGCTAACCCAAACCACTTGGACATTCTCTGCTTCCACATCCATTGAAATGCAGTTAGTCAATTTTCATTCGTTTTTTCTTGTCTTTTTAAGTTTAAAATGCGGTGTGTACGTGGTACGTGCAACTCCGACACTAGGTTCCCGAGAGGCTGGGCGACGGTGTGTGTTTTTTTACCCTTTCCCAAGCCACATCTCAACCGAGATAAGTGTCTGCTCTGGATTAAGTTATGCGGTAGACTACAACACCAACTAAACGCGGATAACATCTGTTCTAAGTTAAGTCAACATTGTATTTGAACGTAACGTAACGTTAGCCTAACATTAGAAAACGTTAGCGTTAGCTTCTAGCTGCGTTGTACATCATGTCACTTAGCTTCATTAACGTATCTGTAAATTACCGAGATAACAAATGTTAACAATGTTGTGCTGAATGATTCATGTAAATACCGTCGCACCAAACGGTGATGGCAACGACAACGAACGACGACACTGTGACGTGTAAGTTACATTTCATCGACCTTCTCAACAATAAAATTATTAATATAACCCTCCAATGCATAGTTAAGGCCCTTTAGGTGACTTCGAGATGATATATAATTTTTCTGTCTCCAAAAATCACCTCCTGTGTCTCCTACTGTGACGGCTGCCATAGCGCCTGTCCCCGAATGTTGAACGTTTTTCCAAAAGAGTGGAGGGGGCGTGGCTTAGCCATAGGTCAATTCCGCAGTCACGTCACGTTTATTCATATAGCACTGTACTCAACAGATTTCTTTAAAGCAACAAGATTAAACATGAAAAAAGTGTCTTTTAATTAGAGTTACAGCTTAAATTTCTACAATAATAAGTATGTTCTCTCGAGTGCGTTCATGTTTTTAATCGTCTCTGACCTTGATGAACTAAGCCACGCCCACCCATTATTACATAATTCCCACAGATCAATGGTGTTCAGCGCTAGAAAGCAAACAAAACAACCAAACAAATTTCATTTTGGCCCGATTTTTATTCACAATGATGTCCCACCAGTTCGTTCTTCAAATTCAGGGCTTTTAGGTTAAAAAAGCAGAAATCAAATGTAATTGTAAATTAGGTCTTGACATCAACTTTTTTGCCCACCAGCCACTGTGGCTAGTGGTTTTCGTAAGTTATTAGCCACACAGCATTTCCACAGGCCACAGTTTTGTCATCGATACCATGGGGAAAAACTGCCATATAGATATTTTTTAATGTTATCTCATCATTTTGCAGAAGGAATATTAAGCTGCTGTCACTTTAAGAGCTGACGCACGGATCCATTATACTGTTACACAAACTCTTTATGTTCATCTAATTAAAACACAACTGACTGTGTTTACGTGAATACTCGCCAAGACCGGCGTATTGACATTATTTTGAGTGTATTTCACTGAAAAACAGCTCAATTTAGTGCTGAGAGGCAGCTTTACTTTAGGTGTGAGCACAAAATCTGCTGAAATTAGTACAATTATGAACAATAGATGCGATCCCTCGCCGAAATTCAAGCTCTGTAACAGCAACAATATTCATCTGGAGTAAATGAAACGAGTGAGTGAGGGGAGGCGGGTTTATGTGTGACTTGCTGAGAGAGAGCAGCCGCTGGTAACTATTCTGCAGAAAATGAGTTTTTCAGATGTTTCAGTTTTGATATGTATGAAACCACAGCCCCGTTGGAATGATGATAACGGTGTGGAAAGCCCTAATGTCCTCCGCTTCTGTCCCACACAGAGGTCCCATCGGTGGACAGTGGCGGCTCGCAGATGAGCTCCCAGGACTCCTTTCACCCATCTGACTCCGGCTCGGATAGAGAAGTGGAGGACATCGAGCTCAGAGGTAGGAGCTCTAGATCTCTGAACGCAACACCTTCATTCCTGCTCGTTTTCATATAATTATCCTCACGATTGCCTTCATTGCCCATAATGCCATGTGATGAAATGTGTTGGCCTCCCAATCTCATTACCACTTTCTCACCGATTATGCTCATTTTTAATTCCTAATTTATAGCTTTCAATCAAGCTTTTTCTTGATTTGGTTTGTGTGTTTGCTGGAAAGAGCAGAAAAGTCATTGCCAGGTGTTAAAGGAGTAGTTCACTTTTTAAAAAACTTTGCTGATAATTGACTCACCCGCATGTCATCCAAGATCTCCATGTCTTTCTTTCTTCAGTCGAAAAGGAATTAAGGTTTTTGATGAAAACATTCCAGGATTTTTGTCCATATAATGGACTTCAATGGGAACCAAACGATTCAAGGTCCAAAAGACAGATTCAGTGCAAACTGCAAACTGTTCAAAGGGCTTTAAACGATTCCAGACGATGAATAAGGGTCTTATCAAGTGAAACGATCGCTCATTTTGTAAATAAATAATAAAGTTTAAGTTTTATAAGCTCAAATGCTCGCCTTGCTCTGTTCTGTGATGAGCGTTCGTGACTCTCCTGTTCGAACTCGTTCGTCGAATGAACCAAATGACACGAAAAAAGATTCATTCATTTTAATGAACGAGTTCGAACAGGAGAGTCACGAACGCTCATCACAGAACAGAGCAAGGCGAGCATTTGAGATAAAACTTAAACCTGTTATTTATTTTTTAAATGAGCGATCGTTTCGCTTGATAAGACCCTTATTCATCGTCTGGAATCGTTTAAAGCCCTTTGAACAGTTTGCACAGAAACTGTCTTTTGGACCTTGAATCGTTTGGTTCCCATTAAAGTCCATTATATAGAGAAAAATCCTGGAATGTTTTCATCAAAAACCTTAATTTCTTTTCGACTGAAGAAAGAAAGACATGGACATCTTGGATGACATGGGGGTGAGTAAATTATCAGCAAAAGGTTTTTTAAAGTGAACTACTGCTTTATTATACTTAACAACTCATACTTCAGTGCGCAAGTCAACACAAAATCAGAATGATTTCTGAAGAATCAAGTGACATGTGATATGAGTAATGATGCTGAAAATACAGCTTTTGATCACGGGAATAACATTATATTACACAACATATTCACATTGACAACATTTCTTTTAAATTGTAATCCTATTTCATAATATTAATGTTTTTTTCGATGAAACAAACACAGCCTCGGTGACCAAAAGACGTAGTATAAGTATATTTCGACACTGCCTTTTGAACACAGAGCAGTTTCTGCACTGAGGAGGCGTGACCAGGCCGTAGATGTGTCCAGTTTAGATGTTGTCTGTGGTCTGTGTCTCTCAGATGGCAGTGATGGTCAGTCCCTGCTGGCGGTGTCTCAGAGCGGCCTGTCCCTGTCGCTCGCGTCCCTCTTCTCAGGTACCAGAGGCGGACGGGCCGAAGTGTGCAGTCTCAGCTCTCACCGCTTGATAAATGATAGACTACGGCTCAGAGGAGTTTAGCCCTCTACAGCAGTCGCTCTTTCTGCTTTTTCCTTTGGCTTTGCTTGTTCATCACCCCTCATCCCATCCCGTGTGTCTTCTCTTTGTGCATGACGGATCCGCCTTTTGTTCCAAGTCGCCGCTTGCTGTCTGTTATTTATGGCACTAACAGATAAACTTGCAACCTTTAGCACTGCTAGCTTCAGAATGATAAGATAAGAATGGATGTGATAATGTGGCCGAATCACTCTTCGCTAATATTAATCATTCAATGTGTAGTTTTCTTATCTTAAAAGCTTTTATTCATAGCCAATGCCGTGAATCAGCGTTCTGTCTTTATGGTTATTGGGATTGATACCATTATGTTATGTAATTTTAGGAAGCTGATCAGTCCTTTATAACTAGTTAAATATTTAATATTTTTGTTATGTAATATACACATATATATATATATATATATATATATATATATATATGTATATAAATAAAAATTAAGTTATATAGATGAGTTTTATAAACATAAAACGTCTATGTATATTCACATTATATTATATAAAATAATATTTGTGTGTGTGTGTGTGTATATATATATATATATATATATATATATACAGTATATATAACACACACAAATGTATTATATAGTATAATTATATAATAATAATAATGATAGTTGTTACATTTTAAAACACCTTATGTATATATATATATATATATATATACATATACTGTACATAACGTAACAACTATTATATATTATATATGTATGTATTATATTTATATATACATATGTGTATATACATAGACGTTTTATGTCTATATGTTATAAAACTTAACATCTATTTAACTTAACATTTTTTAATATATATATACTGTATATAGTAACACACACACACACACACACACACTATATATATATATATATATATATATATGTAATAAAACAGTATAATAGTAAGTCTAATGAAATATTGCATTTTAAAAACAAATATTATATATGAATATAATACATTATACTTACAATTATTATTATAGACAGTACATGGATATCCAAAAACTTTTAAAATTACATTTATTGTGTGTTAATGATTTGCACAATATTTATTTAAAATTCTCGAAATATTTTAGGGGCACTAAGAATTAATCAATAATATCAAAATATAATACAAAACTGTCAAATTGTGGCTGGTGTACGATACTGTGGCGCACAGCTCTTGCTGGAGGAAGCATTGAGTGTTTCTCCTCGTTGTTCCCAGACGCAGACATCAAGCGCTGTGTGTCCGGCAGCAGATCCTTCCTCGGCTCCGACTCCATGTAAGCACTTCTGACATCTCTCACTGTCTTTGTTTGCGCATGATTGACTGATGGAAGTGTTGCATTGGTGGTGTTTGTCACAGCTCTCCGTCCATGCTGCAGTCGAACTCGGCCGAGTCCGTGGCCATGGGTCTCCTCAGGCAGTTCGAGGGCATGCAGCTTCCCGCCGCCTCCGAGCTCGACTGGCTGGTTCCTGAGCACGACGCCCCTCAAAAAGTACCTGCATTTACATCCTTAGGCCTGAACACACACTTGGTGCAAACATACAGATGCACTCTTCCTTTTGTGAAGTGTTTTCTGGACTAGTGGTCAGCTCAGAAGGTCTTGATGTTTTTACTGTTACGGTAGGGGGCGCTATTACACATCTTCTTGAGTTAAAGGGATAGTTCACTTTGACATTAATTGGTATGTTTTAGCTTACCTCAAGAGCATCCAAGATGTAGGTGTCTTTGTTTCCGCAGTATTTTCAATTTTGATATTTTTAGGTCAAACCATTCTTGTCTATCAGTCATATAATGGAGGTTTATGGTCACCACCTCAAAGAGCATGCACAGAGAAGTCCAAATTAAACATGATTTAATGACTCGTAAATGTAAGTACACATTGATGGCCTAAGACACGAAATGAGCGGTTTGTGTGAGACAACGAACAGCATTTATATCGTTTTTACCTCTTGTAACCACAGCCACGTCCAATTGATCTGAAGGCGTGGGCGCCAAAAATATATTTTTTTTAATTTTGTCTTAGTGTCAAATTGTGTAAAAGCACTTTTTAGCTTTTCTCATATTTCTTCAACTCTGTTTGTATTTAGTCCAGTTTTAGTCAATGAAAACTTTGTCTGATATTGCATTTTGATATAGTCACCATTCTCATGACGTTGATGTCGCCTCATCACAGTCTCGTCTTAGTCATTAGTCTTTCATCAACAAAATGAACACTGGAGCAAACCCCTGATTTCTGGCTCAGTTCAGGAGAAAAAAAATCATTACGAGAAAACTGCCTTTAATATATGTATTATAATTGAAATCTACAGATGCATATACATACAATGTAATCAAACAATTACGTGAATTTTGGATGTTTTCTTTCCACAAGACCGAAAGAAGACAAGTTACAGAAGCAAAATCTTGCCTTAAAATTTGGATATCCAATTTTAGCATGTTTTTTTCTTTCTTCTGTTTTACAGCTTCTTCCAATGCCAGATTCTCTTCCCATCTCACCGGATGATGGCGAACACGCAGACGTTTACAAGCTACGCATCCGAGTCCGAGGAAACCTGGAGTGGGCTCCTCCCAGACCACAGATCATCTTCAACATTCACCCTCCTCCAAAGTAAGACCATCACCATTCAGCCTTCATTCCCTCCATCACATGTAGGGCTGAAACGATTAGTCGACGTTGTTGACAATGCATAGCTGTCAACACTAAACATTTGAATATAAGGGAGATTTCCCGGAATCCATCCTCAAAATAAGGTGGTTTTTTGTTTTTTACTTGATTCTTACCCACAAACTTCAAAAATAAAGCACTAACCATTAAAAGTCTAAAGAGTTTATAACTAGCCTACATTAGTGAGAGAGAAAGTCATTAAAAAATATATATATTTTAGGGCTGTGCAAAAATTAATTGAGATTATTTGCATCCAAAATAAAAGTCTGTGTTTACATAATACATTTGTGTGTGCTGTATATAATTATTTTGTATAAATAAATACCTATGCATGCATATATATATATTTAAGAATTATTTGCGCTTAAATTCTGTATATATATAAAAATACACAATCTATATTATAGAAATATAAATATTTTATATATGAATAACACATTTTCTTAAATATATACATGCATGTGTGTGTATTTATATATACAAAATAATTATATACAGCACACACAAAGATATTATGTAAACACAGACTTTTATTTTGGATGCGATTAATCGCAATTAATTTTTGCACAGCCCTAATATATATATATATATATATATATCATAGAGAATGTTTAAATACTCTAATATGAGCTTATGAGGGAAACGGAGGGGGAGTTAGTGGTGCTTCGGAGACTGAGTGCTGGAAATGATTGGGTGAGGTCTGTGCACCTTTACCGATCAGAGTAAAAGCCTTCATACTCGACGCATCTGCACAAGCGGGGGAAAATGACAAGTTGGGTGCGCGAGACCGGCAAGACCTCATTTCGCTTGGCTGTGCGCACAGATTTTTTGTAACCGCATCCGAGGATGAACGACTTCAAGCCGAATCTGTCCGAGCTTGGACGTCTCACACAGTCAGAGCGTAAAAATACGGGGATATTTTACGGGAAAATACTAAAACGGGAAGACAGCGGGAAAAGAACTAAAATACGTGAGAAACCTAGGATATCCGCCATCACGGACGGAATTGCGGAATTGGCCAGTTAACGCGGAATCTAGTGTTAACACGGAATTTTGTGGAATTTTACATATTTGGTTTGAAATTCTGTTTTTGTGTGGGGGAAGAACGTATGTCTGGTGAAAATGCAGACTGGGGGAAGCAAATCTGTGTGACACAACCCCTCAACCCGTCATTTCAGCTATAATGACGAAATCAAAACAACGAAAGCATGGCGAAGCGTCTCTCCACGGCTCTCCTTTCGTCGGCAAAAAGTTAAGAAACTCGACGCTATAAGCCGTCAGTGCCGAGCCGAGCAGTTCGCACGTGACTTATGCAGTGTTTCCCACACATGGACTAATTCTGCGTTTCATTTTTTAACGCTATTTAAAACACGCGGCGTATTCTTTCAGTTGTATTCTCCCTCCGTCTCTCTCTCACTCACGCGTCTGACTTTATTTTGACTTTATTTAAACATATATAAACTAATACAATTTATATTACAGTTTAAAGCTCATAACCATATTTTGTTGTTACTTGAAGTGTTATGTTGCATCATACAGTATTTGTCCTGAAAAGGCTACTGAGTAAATGTCTGTATTACCTCAATAAATTTAATGTCATTCCTTATTTATTTGTATTTTTTTAATACATTTTAATCTTTAACTTTAAAAGCACACTCTTTTTACGACTAAAATAACAGTCAAGGGTAAAAAAAAAAACGAATTCCCAAAAATTAGAACGGAAAAAACGGAATTTGGGGAAAAAATCAAATGGATTTCATGGGGCCCTAGAAACCCATAAAAAACGGGAGGGTTGACCGCTATGCTATAAGATATTGTCGACTAATATCGTTGTTGTCGAGTAGTCGTTTGATCCCACGTGACCGAATTTAAGGGCGTGCAATATCGTGATTTGACCGCTGTGGCGCTAGAGTGTAAAGCAGCCCTTTACAAATGCTATTGCGGTAAAAGAAAAAACAGCACAAATTATGACGGACTGCAAACGAATCCGAACTAGCGAGGTTTGGGAAAGTTTCACAAAACTTCAAACCAACAATGCTGTCATGTGCAATACAAGCAAGGCGGAACTTGATCGAGCTTAGGAGTCAGGGCTGTTTTTATTATTTTAACACTAATAGGTATTATAGTCTTATCACTCGCCTTTATTTTGTTCCATAATCATGACGACTTACAAAAGGAGATGTTAGGAAGAATATCATGGCAGTTACTTTTTCTTTTTCACACTGTAAATTAAAAGTTGAATGAGTACGTTTCTGTCAGCTCAATTTTCATCTAAAAAAAATTGTAATTTTATACTTATAATAATGGTTTGCAGATTAATATTTTACCATTCTTTGTGTCCTGAAGTAAATGTCCCGTTTCTGTTTCATTTCTAAGAAAAGCAGTGGTCCTATTAAACAATGCTTAGAGAGCATTTGTGTGAGATTTGAGTTAGGGGTGTGCACGAATATTCGAATTTTCAAAAATATTCGATATGTAATTATTATTCGAATCTATATAATTATAATTCGAATATTCGATATTTAATTATACTTCGAATGCATCTAGATATTATTGTTTTTCTCAACATAAACGTGAAACAATATAAACACGATAATCAATCATTTGCTGACTCGTGTGTATGTGTGTACGTTCTGTACGATATCTGAAGCAATTTGCTTTATTAGCTTTTTTTTTCCTCACTCGCGCTGTTTGAGCATGCTTTTAATAATGCTTTTATATATTTTTTGTTTACACATAGGCCTACTGTTTAATGTTTTCAACTAAAAGAAAATTTGTATATATATTGTAAGCTTGTTGTGTATTGCCTAATTGTAAGCTTGTCCAGAAATGGTGACAAAAACGTAAAAAACCCCCCCAAAAAAACCTATAAATAAATAACGTCTTTTTCGTTAAACATAATTTAAATAAACGAATATTCGAATATTCGATTTTTGTGAGCCCGAATATTCGAATGCAATATTTTTGAAAAATGCCCATCCCTAATTTGAGTCTTAAAGAGAATGACCTGTTTAGGCTCAAAGTTCATTAAAACAACTATTTCAAAAGCTTTTTTATATTATAGTAAAAATGTGTACAACTCAATGTTTTAACTAATTGAAAAAGCTGAATAATCGTTCCAAACTTAATGATTAGGCGGCGAAATAATCGACGAGTAGTCGATTAATCGCTCTAATAATCGTTAGATTAATCGATTATCGAAAGAATCGTTTGTTGCAGCCCTAATCACATGACTGTGTCTGTTGCATCTCTCCATTGATCTGTCAGGAGGAAAGTGGTGGTGGCGAAGCAGAACTACCGCTGCGCTGGCTGTGGCATTCGCATCGACCCAGGTACAGAGCGCACATGCCCGACACAAATAACCTGCTGTACTTGAGCATGTGGGCTGACTTGAGTACTTTCTCTTCGTAACAGACTATATAAAGAGGCTGAGGTACTGTGAGTACCTGGGCCGGTACTTTTGCCAGTGCTGTCACGAGAACGCACAGGCTGTGGTGCCAGGAAAGGTCCTCAGGAAGTGGGACTTCAGTAAAAGCTACGTCAGCAACTTTTCCCGAGACTTGCTGGCCAAGATCTCAGGAGACCCGCTCTTCAACCCGAACGACATCAACAGCGGCCTTTACAAGAAGGTCAAAGCCCTCGAGACAGTGCGCGTACGTCACATGCACATGATTGGATCTTTTTTTACAGCGTAATCACATGTGATAAACTTTTTGTTTGTGATTTGTATTTGTATTTGTTCTATTGCAGGCGTTGAGGGAACAGTTAAACCACATGAAGAATCTCTTAAAAACGTGCCGTTTGGCTAAAGAGTAAGTGTTTTCACTGCATGTTTTTTAAAGTGTGAAACACTGAACACCGCATCACAAGCCTCCTCTCTGTTGACAGTGTGCTGGAGCAGTTCGACACGTTTCCTGGACATCTGACCGAAGACTTCCACCTGTTTTCCCTCAACGACCTCAGCGCTGTCCGTAGCGGCTGTCTGGCCCCAAAGCTGCGGGATCTGCTCCGCCTCGGCTCCTGCCATGTCACTGACTGCGTGGTGAGAACACACTTTTGACAGTTCTCTAGGCGTCTGAATTGCTATTTCATGCTCTAGATTCGTTATTCGTCGCTCGTGGTTTTCCCACAGCTCTGCCAGGCCAAGGGCTTCATCTGCGAGTTCTGTGGAAATGACAAAGACATTATCTTCCCCTACGAGCTCAACAAGTGCCTGCGTTGTGATGGTGAGCATTTATTTATATACATATAATGGGTTTTATTCATTGTATTTCTTTTTATGCATTAATATGTGCGTTTATTTATAAAGTTGTTTTTATATTTTTTAATTTATGCAATTTTAGTTAAGCATTATGAATTTAAATCAGGGCTGTCAAAACGATTAATCGCGATTAATCGCATCCAAAATAAAAGTTTGTGTTTACATAATATATGTGAGTGCACTGTGTATAATTATTTTAGATGTATAGAAATACACACACATGCTTGTATATATTTAAGAAATATTTTCATGTATATACTGTATATAGATTTATAAATAATTTATATTATATATAAATATAAATATTTTATATATAAATAATATTTTTTCTTAAATATACATGCATGTTTATATATATATATATATATATACACAAAATAATTATACACTCTGAACCCACATATATTATGTAAACACAAACTTTTATTTTGGATGCGATTAATCGCGATTAATCATGTGACAGACCTAATTTAAATGTTCAATTTTTTATTCAATTTTATTTATATATTTGAATTTATGCATGTGTACATATTAATATTTATGCCTTTATTAATAAAGCATTATATTTATTAATTTATGTATGTAATTTATTTATACATTATGCATTTATTTGTTCAATATTTATTAATTGACGAACGGTTTTATTTACATGCATTTATTTATAAATACATTTTATATTTATTCATTTTATTTACACATTTTTATCATGTACACAATTTTTTTGTGCATTTTTACATTTACATTGCATTTATTAATACATTTCTATTGATGCATAAATGGTTTATATATTAATTTATGCATTTAATTATTTGCATGTGCACGTTTTTGATTTATGCATTATTTATACAATTTCACTTTTGCTTTTTTTATTTATGGTTTCATAAATGCATTTATTCATTCAGTTGTATTTATTTATTTATGCGTGTATGTGTCTATTTCTTTATGCATTTGTATGCATGCATACTTTGATTTATTTATGCATTTTTTAAACTAGGCTAAAATGTTTTCTTTGGGTTGTCTGTTCGTCTCCCTTTCTTGCACTCGACAGGCATTTAAAAGTGTTTTGGGACTAATGTGTTGTTTTGGCTTTGCCATGGTTGGTGTGTGCTTGTTCTGCAGATTGTCGTGCGTGCTATCACAAGACCTGCTTTAAGGCTGGGAAGGAGTGTCCTCGCTGCCTGAGACTTGCCGAGAGGAGAGAGCGGATGGCCCGCAAGAACATGGAGGAGCAGGAGGACGGAGACGAGGGTGAGGCGAGTGGGACCTAGCACATGACAACACCAGTGAATGTAGAGACTGATATTCAGAGACACTTTTCTTGATTCCCGTCCCAAATTAGCTGCTCTAAAAGTCCTGCTGACCCCAGCGTTATTGATGATTAAAGCTACAAAGAGTTTATGTGCAAATAATGTTTGCCTTCGGACAGAAAACTACTGCTTTGTACGGTTTGCCATGTTTTTGTTTGCGTCTGTTGCCTCCGCCCTTTAAAATCACATTCGTTTTAATCAACATGGTGTCGAGTCCTGAGTCGTAAACTTTTATGTGTGTTTTTTTGTGTGTGTGTGTGTCCGCGTTTTGTTGGTTATATTTATTCATGTCTCCTGTGGCGTGCCTCATCAATGGCCGTTGGTTTGTAACGATGAGAGACGGAGAAGGGCAGCTGAACTCCAGCGAGTCTTGCACAACCTTTGTTTTCTCTGTCAGGTTCAAACTTACTGTGTTGAAGATCAAGCTAAGACAATAGGCCTTATGCGTGAAATGAGTTTGTGTTGGCGGAAACATTCATTCGAATACATCAATGGACCAAATAGAAGCCAAACAATTTGTGTGTAAACAATTGAAACGCAAATTGTTGAATTGAACCGAAGACAACTTTTTATACAAGAATGAGAAAGAATTTTGCACAAGAACTCCATGTAGTTCGTTTTTTGCGAGCAATTTTTTGGTTCGTAAAATCGTTCTGCATGAATTTGAACGTTGCGCACATTTTAGCCAGAAACCATTCTTGCGTAAGTTGTTTTGGTTTCGCGAAATATTTTAGCCGCTTTTCCACTTTTCTTGCTTACTTTTTTATTTTTTGGTTCTGTAAATTCGTTGTTTTGCTCTTTCGTTTTAACCCCTTACTAAATTCTTTTGGTTTTATGAACGATTTACACAAGTATAAAATCATTCCTCCATTGACCGTTTTTAGTTTCGCGAGTGATTTAGACAGGAATTTTTTTTTCTCCTCACTCACAAATCCATTCCAAGTTGTTTTTGCTTTTCCCCCCCAAATATTTTCGCGGGAAATTTCTTCCGCTTGTATATGTTAAGTCTGTCTTGCGCAATTTTTTTTTTCAATGAATTTATATAAATTTGTTCTGCTTGGTAGAAAAATTCAGACGGAAATTTCTTTTACTTTAACTAGGAACCCGTTCTTCCAAAATGACTCTTGTAAAACTGGATGCGTCAACTTGCGCGAATGCTTTTACAAACCGTATAAACTGAAATTTATTCAGCTCATTTCACAAATGAGGTTGAATACTGGTCTTTATTTGTCAATTTAAAGGCCTTTTGCTTTAACATGTTGCACCTACCAAAAATGGCACTTTGTTTGTATTGATTTTCTGCCCTGTGTTAAACAACTCTTGTCTTGTTGGATCTTTAATTTGCACTAGTTTGATTGATGTTTGTTTGAACAAGAAATGTATTAACGTTTGAACTGGAACATCATTCCAACATCTCACAAGCGTGGTTGTCCGGTGAAGCTCCTCATGCAAAAAGACAGTTTTACCAAAGTGTTATTTGATTAAAAGAGTTTATTGCATTGGTAAGTCATATTATAATTCACTACATCATTAGTTTGAGCAGTTAATGAAGTAACTAAAAGAAAATATATTCCTTAAAGACCCTATTTGAGTATATCTGAAGCAATAACAACCATGTGCTACTTTGCCAAGTGTTATATGACTTGAATGCACTGACCTTACATTTATGAGATTGAAAGAATGAACAAACTTGCTTTTCTATGGTTGCTATAAGCTATAATATTACGTTTATAACTTTTTCATTTGATCCTGCTGATGATGTCTTCATTTGAGCCTACTCTTGTAAAATGACTGAATTGCCTTTTTTTATTCAGGGGCTTTTGATGCACTATTTGAAAAATGTACATATATAATTTCTTATTGTTATAAATGTTAATGACAATTAAAGATGTTTAGACTGTTTTTGTTTCTGTCTCTACGTGATCACATGCTCTAAGGGAAAACAAAAATGTATATACATAATTTAGTCTGTATTTTTTTCTATTGCTTCATCCAGATGCACCACATGCATATGATTACAAGTGCATAGCCTGTGATTATCAGCAGGTAAATGCGGAAGAGAAGGAAGTCCAGGATGTATCCCACGTGGCACCACTGGTTCTGTAGATGGTCTTCCTTTCGGAGAATGGTCAAATAAGAGTTCATCTCACTAAGATCCTTACTGATCTGTCTGAGTTCAGGCACATCCAGTGTCATGCTTCCAGAGGCTAGGGGACAGAAAAAGCAAACATTTAACATCTGAAAGTTGGTATGCTCTACATTAGCTGTTTCCATGGATGGCGACACCAGACGATGAATAAGGGTCTTATCTAGGACCCTTTGAGTCATGACTCGAAAAAAGATTTGTTCATTTTGATGAAAGAGTTCAAACAGGAGAGTCACAAACGCTCATCACAGAACAGAGCAAGGCGAGCATTTGAGCTTATAAAACTTAAACTTTTTTTAATTTATTTTTTAAATGAGCGATCGTTTCGCATGATGAGACCCTTATTCATCGTCTTGTGTCGTTTAAAGCCCTTTGAAGCTGCACTGAAACTCTCATTTGGACCTTGAACCGTTTGGTTCCCATTAAAGAGAAAATCCTGGAATGTTTTCATCTAAAACCTTAATTTCTTTTCGACTGAAGAAAGAAAGACATGGACATCTTGGATGACATGGGGGTGAGTAAGTTTTTTTTTAAAGTGAACTACTCCTTTAAGTAAAAGTACTGGAGTACTTGTTTTTAAAAGTACTTGAGTACATTTTCTAAATATTGCATTACTACTGCCACAGTGCTTACAGTTATGGTCAGAAACGTCCGCTGGTGTCTTCATCCATGGTTTTGTCCATGGTTTCATCTCTTATCTAAATCTTACCATGGAGTTGATTTTGGCGGAAAGCTGAATGTGATTGCTGATAGGCTGAGAGGGAAACAACAAATTGAGAGTTTCCGAGTTTCCGAGATTTTTCTTATTTCTATTTTTTTTTTAAAGTAGCCCCAGATAGCAAACTGACATTGAATCAACGTGGAAACGACGTCTCTCATGACATTGAAACAACGTTGATTTTGCTCATCGAATTAACGTTGAACCAACGTCAGACGCGGCATTCTTCAAAGCTAAATAAAAATCGAAAATTGGTTTGCTTTCATAACGTTGAAACAACGCGTTGATTTCAAGTTGATTTTCCGTTAGTTTTGAAAGAATGACGCGTCTGACGTTGGTTCAGCGTTAATTCGATGAGCAAAACTATGTCAGATCAACGTTGTTTCTATGTCATATTTCCACGTTGATTCAATGTCAGTTTGCTATCTGGGGCAGGTACTAATGGTTATGTATAGAAATGTAGTGGAGTAAAGAGTACTATATTTCCCTCTCAAATGTACTTGAGTAAAGTCATGAGTACTCCCCAAAAATGATTCTCGAGTAAAGTACAGATCCATAAAAATTGTACTCAAGTCCTGTACTCAAGTAAATGTACTCCGATACTGCCCGGCTCTGACCACCATATGTAGCTACACACATACAATGAGCACATTTAGCCCTGAACACAGCATTGTTTTGGGTGTTCGGTAAGATCCATTGCGGTATATATAATAAAAGCCGACCAATCAGGTTGTGAATGTATCCGTATGCCTTTGGGTTCGGTATCTTTAGGTTCAGTGTTAAAATGCCAATGTGATGCTAAGCAGACCAGGACTAAATTGAATTGAATTTAATTGTTTTTGTCCTGACCAAACTAACCAAGCGAACTGAACTATAAGTGTGAACACACCCTTAAGCCCGGAACACACCAAGCCGACGCCAACGAACTAGCGCTGATGAAAGACAACTTGTCGCATCTCGTCCAGGTAAAAGCTGCACTTGAACACACCGAGAGAACTACAGGCGACTGTCAACTAGAATGTGCGTTCTGCGCCTGCGTGTAATGAGCCAACTGTCTATTTCTGCAGATATTAGTCTATTCGTCATTCAAAAAGGAAACCGACGGGGCTAACGTTACACATAATGTAAACAAAGCAGCGCTTACTTAACGTTTTGAATATCAATCCTGCTAAACACTTAATTATTCCACTCCACTCATGTTAATATTGAAATATTCACCAAGGAACACTCAGGTAAGAAGACGTAACATAAGAACAGCCTTCTATCTGTACCGTGTCTTCTTTGCTTGCTGTTTTGAGTTTATTCTCGTGCACTGACTCTTTCACTAAGTTGAACGGCCAATCAGAGTTCTCTCTTTCCCCAACGGCCCGACACCGATTCAACATGTCGAATCGCGCGAAACAAAGCCGACGAGGACTCCCAGACAGCAAACTGACATTGAATCAGCGTGGAAACGACGTCTCTCATGACATTGAAACAACGTTGATTTTGCTCATCGAATTAACGTTGAACCAACGTCAGACGCGGCATTCTTCAAAGCTAAATGAAAATCGAAAATTGGTTTGCTTTCATAACGTTGAAACAACGCGTTGATTTCAAGTTGATTTTCCGTTAGTTTTGAAAGAATGACGCGTCTGACGTTGGTTCAACGTTAATTCGATGAGCAAAACAATGTCAGATCAACGTTGTTTCGATGTCATATTTCCACGTTGATTCAATGTCAGTTTGCTATCTGGGCTATTTTCAGCCAACGGCACGGAACTGTGCGGAACACACGAGGAAACTTAGTTGGCCAATGCAGAAAATCTGCCAGACGGCCGACCGTCGGTTTGGTGTGTTCCGGGCTTTAGAAGCTAGTCATTTGTGATGGGGAAAAAAGAGAAACATTGGTTTCCCCGACTGCAGCAACTTCAAGGTTTGTTACAAATATTTTGCGCCATTTTCCCAGGAAGTGATTTTCTTGAACACATGGATTAGAAACGGTGCTTTATTGCCAAAATGTTTTATGCCATATTGAAATTTTGCGCACAAGTTAAATTCGCAACTTTGGATGGAAATAGCTGGTGAAATTTTGCTGGGGCGTCTCACCATTAGTGGCTGTCTGTCGACTGGGCGTTGGGTTGGTGGTTTGCTTCTCTTCTAGTTTGGCTAAAGGGTCTTCAGGGAAACTGTAGCAAATGAGCCGAGCAATGAAGTGCATCACCAGCACCTGCACCCAGTGCGGCACCTCCCTGTACCTCATTGAATTATGGTGGAGAACGCAGGTAATGAGGACCGTCTCCAGTAGACTTATGACCATGAATGCCAAACACACGGAGAAATAGATACCTAAAGAGGTGAAACCAAATTTTAGAGATTGATGAGTGTTCACATTATACCACATAAGGCAATTCTTGATTCTAATTGGTTAACACTCATTCCAAGTGCTCTGGAATATACTAACATTGCTAATGCTAATCGTTTACAAATGATGCTGGGAATATGTTGCTTGTTACACTCCTTGAGATTTAAATATACCCATGAAAATAGTCTTTGCATGGCTACGAAGTAATCCAGGTTTATTGAGCCTACTTTACTCTCCAAGGTGTAATCAACCAATGTTCGCCATTTGACATTCACACATTGCTAATTGGCTAATTGACCTATTAAAGGTGTTCCATTTGCAGTGCTGGGAAGCAGGTCGTTCATAATGAGAAGAAACACCGTATAGCCCAGAATGAGGGTCATTTTGAAGGAGGATCGATCCACGCTGTGCGGCGGCAAGTAGAAGGACAGGATGTCAATGATCATGAGGAAAGAGCTGGGGATGATCAGGTTCACCACGTACAGAATCGGCCGTCGCTTTATCACCACCTGCAGGAGAGAAACAGTAAAGGTCTGTTCATGAGTGATAACTATATTAGTGTCCACACCAATGGAGATTTATTATAAACACGTGCTGCAGTTTTGTCATCTGCTGCTTTAAATGCTCTTTAAAGCAGGATGGATTCTGATTGTTTGAAAAAAATTTTTTTTGGTAATCTGGAAAAAAAAACATTCTGAAAGTGATTTCAATGATATTGTTGTCGTTAAAGAGTAACTAAACCCTAAACCAACTTTTTTAGTTAATGATATGTAAGAATGGATCTTTATTATTTCCAGTTATTGATTTGAGTAACTTTTTTGACATTTGTCTATCAAGTGTTCTATTTCTACAATATATGGTGTAAAAACATCTTAGTGCTGCCTTCTTCAGGTTGAACGGTGGCTACTGCAGTTGAATTTTTCTATTGGATGTTACCGCACTTGTGACGTACGCAGGTTTCAGCTCACCACGCGAGCTACGCCCTTGGCAGTATAAAAACCAGCTTGTTTCGTCAAAACCACTGTAGCGAGTCAGGAGTTGGAATTGCAAGTATTGAAAATGACCAGGATAGAGTGTTTTAGCATTTATTTCGTCTCCTCAATCTCCGCTGGGGTCAGCCCACTTTTTCAGCATTTTTCAAATATTCCCAGTGGGTGGAGTCAGGCTCTGACCAGGGGTTTAGTTACCCTTTAAGGTTACACCTGGTGTGGACAGCTACTCTTTTAACTTTAGAATGATTTTTTTTTAGAATGATCAATTAATTCTTAATTTCTTAAGTCATAACATAACAAAAAAAAAGAAGCTTCGGTTACTCGCATATTCTCGGTTCCCAATAACGGGAACGAGCATTGCGTCGGAGAGTCTTCTCTGATCGCTATGGGGAAACTCTGTTTTCTCAGAATACTGAAGCCTGATCGGTTCACGTCTATGAATTTCACAGACAAATAGCTTTCCAGCCCACCAAGATGGGCGGGGCCGAATGCCTATATACTGTAAGTCGCACTGAACGGCTATCTAGTCCGATTTTCTCGAAGGTGCCCAAGCCTTATAGCCTGGTTAAAACCAGACCATTCTCAGTTGTAACTGAGTTATGGTCTGGCAAAGCGTCATAGACAAATCATTTCCAGAGGGGCGTCACCAACGGACATCGCGGGTAGACCTAAAACCAATCAGAGCGATGAAGGAGACGCGATAGCTGATTCGAACGAGTGATGTTCGATGGCGGCATCCATCTTTGTAATGTAGGCAACAAAATCTGTTTCAAAATCCCAGTGCTGTCGTCATCGTGTAAAGCCCGCCCCAACGTTTCTGATTGGTGCCGTGATTTCGACGGATTGGAAATGGGCTTGAATGAGCTCTTTGCCAGACTTACTTTCAGAGCAAATCTAAATTTGCCGGAAGTTGTCTGCGAGCGAATTGTTGTGTGTAAGTAGTGGTTTAGTGCAATTAGTGTTACCATTTACTACACTTTGTTATTCTAGCCGATAATGAATCTTGTGAAGTCTCACACAAAAAAAATATCTTACTTCTATGCTGCAAAAGAAGAAGGATAATTTGGCAAATATCATTTGGTTGTAAAAATGTACTGGAGAAATAGAGTACCATGCTTTTCTAAACTTAGCCATTTATACCCCCTGCTTTTGTCCCTTACTTACCCAGAAAGTGATGATGTCCCATTCGTCTATTCCAAAGTTCAAAATGTTAGAGTCACCCAGTATAACCACCAGCTCCCATTCTCCACTGGCCTGCAGGTATCGCTGTGAGTTTAGGGTCATCTCCGCAAAGGACAGGGCAGGACTGACACGCACATCCTTTACTGAAGGGGTTAGAGGTATTATTAGACACATTCAGGAACCCATGCTTTGCCTAATCAGCTAAATTAGTTGTTGAATTGTAATAATGTGTTTTCATGTCAGCATGAAAATCAGTTTATATGTTTGTCATATTTATTAATTTATTCCAAAATGTATTACAACTTCCATGCTATTCCCACATACAATGACTTGAATACACAGCTTCTATGAGCATGTTTTAATTGCTGGTACTCAGAATTGCGGGTTTATGTCTCACTGTTCTGAGAATTGTGAGTTATTGTCTGAGTTGTGAGAGCTAAACACAACTGTGTGTTATAAAGTCTGAATCGTGAGATATAAACTCGCAATGAGATATTTAGTCTGGGATCGGGATATATATAAAGTGGCAATTGTGAGTTATTTCATCGGAATTGTGAGATATAAACTCACAACTTATTTAAACTGTTCAAAACATTTTCTTATCGCCATATGCATATTTCATTACATGTGAAAGTCCACAGAAACTAAGACTAAGCTTCACATGGCTTAGAAGCACACAAAAGGAAATGCTTCTAAGGCAAATATGCGCTGAGATGGCAGGAAATGTGGAGAGCAATGGAAGCGGTGACGTTACTGGTATGCATGTAGGAGCCGAAGGTGAAAGAGCAGTTCTGTATGTCGAAAGGGAAGCTGAAGATCTCAAGGTTACAGGCGCTGACCAGCCTCAGCATCCTGTCATAGCGGATGTGGCCCGTGTGGTTCACATACACATAAGGACAGGCCTGAGATACATCGTCATCCACACTAAACACCAGAAGAGAAAGAGGACAAATATTAATTTGAGTTGGAATTATTTTATAATTCACTTGTAGCCTATAGTATTATCTTCTGCTAAGATGTCTATTACAATTTACAGAGTTGGCCTATAAATACAAGATGAACACTGTAAAAATAATACAGATAATATTCATACTATAAATCTTCTGAGGTCATTGGATCAACTGAGACGCAAAATGGTTTTTCAAAATGGATTTTCAAAGAATCTCTCGTACTGCGGAATATCTTACGCTAGGGGAAAACCTCTTCCATGAGATGTTGAAGCCAAACAATTATCCTTAATTTTGATTTAATGTAAAACGCGTTGCGGCAGCATGCAGACATAGGCAAGGCGGCTTAGCATGCCTATTGGCTGTCCTGCGGCAACTGCAGCAGCCTATCGAGAGAGGCCCTTTGGTGATGGTCCAATGGGGGTGCTTCACGCCCACTGCGTTGATCCAATGTGTGGCCTAGCCCTATAAATATAGCTCGATGGGCTGATATCACTGATTTTTTTTTATCTCTTCAGTGAAGCTCACGCTGGATCCAGAGGGAGAAGCCACACCGTCGAAAAAGCCTTCTGCAGGACGAGCTAGTTCAATAGAAGCCGCTGGCCTTCATTTTGCCGCCTTCAGTCGCCGTTCCTGCTACGCTATCCGGCGTCCATATCCTTTCATATATTGCATTACTCTGCCTAGTGTGTGTTTGCTACCATGACTCGCACTTTCTAAAAGAGCTGCGTCTTTTTAAAGATGCCATCCTCCTGTGGCTCGAGCCGAGCCCCATTGAGCGACTGGGACCACCATGTCATCTGCGTTTCCTGCCTGGGAGAGGATCATGCAGCACTCGCGCTCGCCGACGGCGGCTGCCCTCACTGCGAGCTATTGCCTATGGTTACTCTGAGGACTCACCTGGCATATTTCTCAGAGTCCGTAAAAAGCGCCGTACTCAGCGGGTCCCTGAGCCTTCTCAAGCATGCGAAAGCTCGCCAGTTCGCACGCCAGCTTTGCCAGCTTCACTCGGCTCGCTCACTGATGGACAACAGCCGCCGCCCGCCCCTGCTTCTGTCATCGAGGACGACGAGCCTGCTGAATCTGCAGAGGAGGCCAGCTGCTCTCTACTGGCGCTGGACAGTGAGGATTGGGGCCTCACACTCAATTGGGCGAAAAATTCGCTGTCCCCCAGTCAGAAAATATCCTTTCTGGGTACAGAGCTGAACTCACTGTCTATGACAGCACGACTGTCGCCAGAGCGCAGATTAAACATTCAGCGCATCACGAAATCCTTTCACCGCAGGACCATAGTCCTATAGTCATGACCTCAGCATCATTAGTACTTCAGCTGGGCCTGCTTCACATGCGCCCACTGCAGTTATGGCTGAAAGCACGAGTACCTCCTCGAGCTTGGTCTTTTTCACCTCAAGGTTGATCAGAAATGTGTCACAGCTCTGAAACCTTGGAGAGCGACCGTCCGACTGGTACCAGTCAGGTTTAAGCCTGAGGAATTCCTTGCCTTTGTCCCCGAATAAAAGGTCACCACGTATTTGTCCGCTCGGACAACATGTCAGTGGTGGCCTACATAAATCACCAGGGCGGCGTCAAGTCCCGAAACCTTTACAGGCTGACAGAACACATCTTGGTCTGGGCTCAGCACAATCTGCGCTCACTGAGAGCAGCACACGTGCCTGGCTCCGAGAATTTGGGGCCAGACAGACAGTCCAGAAACAATATTCCAGCAGGAGAATGGTCTCTGCACCCGCAGACGATCCTCCTGCTGTGGGAGACAATCGGCAGAGCGCAGGTAGATCTGTTTGCGTCCCAAGAGAACGCTCACTGCCCGAAGTTTTTCTCCAAGAACAGGGATGCGCTGGCCCACATCTGGCCCCGCTGCCCACTCTATGCTTTTCCCCCAGTCTCGCTCCTGCCTCAGGTGTTGGAACGATTCAGGAAAACCGGATGCTCAGTGCTCCTTGTGGCTCCGCTCTGGACGAACCAAGTCTGGTTCCCAGTCCTAATGCAGCTGACGAGCACCACCCCATGGCTGATTCCAACTAGGAAAGACCTCCTCTCTCAGCCCAAGGGCTCAATTTGGCAGAGACTTTTCACCCATAAACAGCGGGGTTTACGTGGTGGCCATAGCAGCGTTTACAAAACCCGCGACTGGCCTGTCACTGGGGGAAAACGATCTGGTCATCTGTTTTTTAAAAGGAGCTAAGAGGCTGAATCCTCCCAAACCCCCCTCTATCCCCATGTGGGACCTTTCCATGGTTCTGGAAGCCCTGAAGGGAGCCCCATTTGAGCCAATCCAGATGTCAGATATGAAACACCTGTCGTTCAAAACAGTGTTTCTCATGGCTCTCGCTTCAGTAAAGCACATAGGGATCTACAAGCGCTCTCAGTGAGCGTGACTTGTCTGGAATTTGGGCCTAATGATTCGAAGATCATACTCAAACCAAGACACAGATATGTGCCTAAATCCCTCAACACATCGTTCAGGGCCCAGGTTATTTCCCTGTCTGCCCTACCGGTTTATAATGAGGAGAAAGACGCTAGCCTCCTTTGCCCAGTCAGGGCCGTAAGAGCTTATGTGTCTCGCTCATCCGTTTTCAGACAGATTGAGCAGCTTTTTGGTTCATTCAGCAGTCGCGCTAAGGACCCATCAAAACAGAGTCTATCCAGATGGATAGTTGATGCCATAGCACTTGCATACTTTACAAAGGGTCTAAAGTGCCTTTTAGGTGTTAGAGCACACTCCACCAGAGGCATGGCCTCATCGTGTGAGTGGTCTAGCGGGATCACCTTACAAGATATCTGTATAGCCTTACAAGATATCTCCCTGTCTACATTTATAAGGATTTATAACCTAGAAGTTCCCACTTTGCAGGCTAAACTACTGTTGGTTTAAAATCAAGTATCATCTGCCCAGCTGCTTCGGGCCCCTTTGGTTGCTAACTTATTGGGAATGATGCTGCTAGCCTCTCTTCTCAGGCTATCTCTGAGTCCATGGTGATTATGCACTATATGAGCCCCGGGCACTTGCCCTTTGGGACTTTGGTGTTGAATCCCTGCATGCACGGCGTTTTACATTGTGTTCCCCTAGTGTAAGATATTATGCAGTACGAGAAAACAGTACTTCTTTCAAGAAGAGGGAACAAGTACTGCGTATCTTGCTGTGCCTGTAACACACTCTGATTCGCTTCGGCGATGAAAAATCAGTGAAATCAGCCTATCGAGCTATATAGGGCTAGGCCATGCCCGCTTCGGACCGCCACCAAGGGACCTCTCTCACCAAGGGGCCTCTAGGTTGCTGCAGTTGCCGCAGGACAGCCAATAGGCATGCTAAGCTGCCTTGCCTATGTCTGCATGCTGCTGCAATGCATTTTACCCAGCACCCAGGGGACAAACTTTTTCTATTAATTATAAACATGCTGCCGTTCTGTCATCTGACGATTTAAATGATTAGCTTACTTCAAAATGAAAATTCTGCCACTCTAGATAGTATCTTGTGTAGTATCTCAAGAAAGTGTAGTATCTCAAGATAGTATCTTGTGGCCTCAAGATAGGAACTTGTGGCCTCAAAATAGTAACTTGTGACCTTAAGATAGTATCTCGTGTAGTATCTCAAGAAATTAACTCATGGCCTCAAGATAGTAACTCGTGGCCTCATGATAGTAATTTGTGGCCTCAAAATACTAACTCATGACCTCAAGATAGTATCTCGTGTAGTATCTCAAGATAGTAACTTGTGGCCTCAAGATAGTATCTCGTGGCCTCAAGTATCTTGAATACTTAAGTTCCTACAAGCAGGAAGGATTCTGATTGGCCATCAATGTTTTTATCATTCATCAGCTGGAAAAATCCCTCTGAAGTTGACTCAATGATTCAATTTTGATCATCTGTGCCGTATTATAGTTGTTTTGTGGACTCTGTTATTCTCAGTTAGAATAATTATCAAAACTTTCAACACATTCTCACCCCAAGGCGTCACCTTTGACCATGCTTCAATATTTGACGTTTTAGGCGCCCTTTAAGCGTCACTTGCATGACGCGATCCTACGGCGTCATCTAACTGACGCTAAAGGAACGCGTCAGTTGGGGGACGCGATTAGGTTTAGGTCTGGGGTGGGGGTAGGGTACACGTGATCCTAGGGCGTCATCTAACTGATGCTAAAAGGGCGCCTAAAGCTCAGATATTGAAGCATGGTCAAATGCATGGTCAGTTAGGTGATGCCTTGGGGGTGAGAATGGGCTGAAACTTTATATTTTTAGTGATCGTTCTTCGTGTGAATGGGCCTTTACCCTGATGAACAATATCCCAGCAAACAAAAAAAATGTTTAAAGAACACTTTGCTAATGCTCCCATGAAGTTGTGAAAAAAACGTTATCGTTCTATTCTATTCTAAAATCTATTAAAGTTAGGCTACTAGAAGAACATTTGGTATATGCTACTAGCACAACGTTATGAGAATGCTTCCTGTTTGCTCAGTATACAACATGGACGACAACAAAGAATATTAGTAATTTGCACTGAATTTTGAATTAATTTTGGGGAATTTTTTTGAGCAAAATGTTTTTTTGTTTTTTTTATGTCCCGATCCTTCCCACTAGATGGCACTTACAACTCATACACGATAATGTCAGGAGTCCAGAGATCTTTGACAGGAAGAGAGATCTTCGTAATGCCATCACAGGGTTCTGGATCCCAAATGAGGAACTCATGGAACCAGTACTAAAACCAAACATGATTAAATAACAGGAATATTGTGTAATATTCAGGCGATTATTCAAACATCTCTTAGTGTCTATGCACCAAACTCACCAGCCTGAGCCAGAGGAATGTGGTAAGAATTTGTGCTTTTTCATTCTGCAAAACAGAACAAGGCATCAAATGTTCAGGCGTGAGGATAATTCACACAACCAGGCACATATATCCAGTACCGTATTGACTCACAACTCCCAAGATAGCATAGAGAGTGAAGGAGATGTTGGTGATAGTGGGGGTGCTGAGGTTGACTGAAGGTCTGAAGGACTTCTTGTCAATGACTTGCTGTAGAGATTCATACGTAGGTCCACTTTGTCCGTCTTCACATCGAAGCGTATTCACCAGACACTGCAACACTTAATCACACAATCAACCAGGGAAACTAACTTAGTCTATCTTCACCTGATGACCGTTTTCACATAGAGTCAGATGCAAATCCTGTAATATTGAGTATTTTTGTGACAGTTGTATACCGAAAAATATGGCATAGAAACAATTTTCACTCTGAACATAATTTCACAATGAAATGAATTAAACATGAAATTTTAAAAGAGAAAGACTGAACTAGTCCTTTAACAAATTCCCTTAAAATAATCTTTGTTTTATTACAATATGGAAAAATCTTATTTTACAGTGAATAAAGATTTCTGCCACCTTTAAGCCAATTGCTTTCCAACATTTTGAAGTGTATATTTTATCTTGTTAGAACATCCCTAATGGATATTTTTAGCATATTTAACGTTTAACTGTAAAGTATTTTCATTTTAGTCCATGTTATCTAATCTTGCATAGACAGCAAAATAAATTCACAATGACAGCAGAATTAAGACGCTGTAAGTTTTAATTACAGTACAAAACCCTTTTTGTGAAGTAATTATAATTTTATGAATAAACAGTGAAGCAAAAACGAAATTTCCCAAAAAACTTGTTTTTAAAATATTTTTTAATTTATTATTATTATTTTTTTAAAAGACAATTGATTCCGAATAAAAGGTAATGCTGGATCATTATCAAGATATTTCATTATTGTTTTTAAGTTTACAAAGACAAAACTGACAAAAAGTACGTTGAAAAATTTTTTTTTTCCTGATTTGTAATCACAACATTTTTTTTTTGTCAAATCAACTTAAATAATTTATGTAGTTCAGATAACATAATATTTTGAGTTTCTGATGAGTTTTCAATTTTTCCAGTTTAATGAACTTAAAATTTTATGGCAACCAGGTTACTTCATTCATAATTTAAACCAACATTTTTTTTTACAGTGTAGTAAGTAAGTCTGTGTTCTTCATAAAAGTTCAATTCATTACCTGTATGTAGAATGAAACATGACAAAAGACAACGCCAAAGATGTCCCATAATGCTGTGTGTAGATGAGATTTCCTATTGTTTAAAACTGCTCAGGTTTAAACACACCGCTTGCTTCCACAGGTGAAGAGTGCAGACTCTTTACTGGCCACATCATGTGCGGTTACATGTTGTTTAACACCTTCGGTAACCACTGACCTAGCTTGTTTTAATAGCTTTGGATCCATTTGGTTGAATTCATTAGTGATCTATCTTGTTTTTCCATTAGACGAAAACATGTGCAATGTCACACATTTAATTAGAAGAAAGAACACCCGATTCACACAAGAGCTGTTATGGTTCTTCAAGATGTTGCCACTCTTTCTTTATTAAATCAAAATTTTCAGGGTTTTTTAATAGTCTATGCCATGACTAGTTTTATATTTTTAAGATCCCACCTTGAAATCCACAGACTGGCCTTGTTAATAATAATAATAAAAATATTAAAAATATCTTTATTTCAACTCAACTCAACTAAAAAAAAAACACAGAGAAAACAACCAGAAAACCAGGATATTTTTTATATTGTTATCAGAATTTTTTCCTCAGAATTAACTGGACAGTGAACGTTTTGGTGATACAGATTCAGTTTACAGATTTCAGTCATATTCAGTTTTAATTTACTAAGCTTATATATATATATATATATATATTTAAATTCTAGAGCAAAAAAGAAAGTCACGTAATTCTATGCAATCATATTGGGACACTTAAAGCTCCCATAAAGATGATCCCTTGAATAAATCTGGGCTCCATTGACCTCATCAAGCGTTTGGTGTCTTCAGTTCACAGAGCAGGCAATAATATACTACGACCTTTTGTCTAGACTATACGAGTGCAGCCACAGAATCATAATTGTGCTTAAACTCACAATGATAAAGATAGTATACAGTATAAAAAGCACACGGTCAATGACCTGACCAAACATGATCCATTCATTGGTGCTGTTGTCATTCCTGAAGTGCTCTTCAACTTGGTGGCGGATGGCCAATAAATCTTTACTCATTTTCTTCATTTCCTCTAGACATTGTTCCCAGACACTCACTGGACTTGCACTAACTTGTCCTTTGTGTGGAATATCAGTCATGGTGTTTTTGTAGAAAGTGTTCTTAGATCTGTCGGCTGTAGACAAGAAACAAGAGCACCGTTGGAAAAACCTCTTTTACACCAATGATATGAACTCTGATATAAAGTTCGCACAAATAACTCTAGTGCAGGAGTACACAATGGCGCCTCCCCACCCCCCAATTTTAACTAATTTTCAATAGCGATCAGTGCGCCGAGAGCACCGCACACACGTTTTGTTTTGCGCAACAATAAAACGGACTCTCGTCTCTTGTGCCTAATCAGTCGCTCCAGGATTTCGCGGGCCTTTTTTGTGATTGTTGCGGCCTAAAATGCCTGATGTTGCGGCCGCTTTTTTAAAAAGTTGCGATAAAAGTTGCGATGTTCTTCTGCATGTTTTTATAGGTTAAAACGGCAAAGATAGATAGATTTTTACTTAAAATGCCCATATTATGCTTTTTGGCGTTTCCCCTTTCCTATATTTTTTTGTGCATGTTATAGGTTTACTAAGAGAGAAAAGTCCAAAGTCCACCCCAAAGGGACTTATTATGTCCCACAGAAAACACTGTTCATCATCTGCATCTGCTCTATTGTAGTCCAGAATTGACTTAAGAGACAAAGTCACACACTTTGTAACACACGAACAAACTAACTAACCATTAGTAACAGTAAAGGCAAAACAAACGATTTAAATACACAGCAAAACCTAACAAACTAAGCTTCTTTTTTTTTTTAAACAAGATCTGCACCTGCAAAAAAGTCAATGTGCAGAACCTCACAAACATTAAGCAGCATTTATGTTGAAAGATGCCAATACTAATAAAGTGCAAAATACAGTTTTAGGAATAGCCACTAAAGTTAAATGGTGGAAAAACCAAATGTTCGATAATGTATTTTAATATAGCTAATATAATATAATATAGCCGCATATCCAATAAAGCTGTTCTCATTTGCTTAAATTTTTTTTGTCAGACAATAGAACGAGTCGGCTAGTAAAATTTTCTGAATTGAGAGAGTTCGGGAACTGGGTGAACTAATGCACTGTGATAGTGAGTAGCCTATTACAAGTGATAAACACAAGAAAAGAAAGGAAAATAAAATGGTCAAACTCAATTCTTTAAATATAAAACAAAAGAGAAGCAGATAAGTGATAAGTCCGTGGAAACAACACTGCTCATTCGCGTCTGTCAGCTGCCGTGCTGCTCCTCTACTGCAGCCATTCACTGAACAGGGACGAAGAGAGAGGTGTGACGGCAGGGAGAAAGCAAACCTCGCGCTCGCAGGATTGTGCTGGCAACATTTGGTTACTGAGGTTTGTCCAAAAAGCCGCTAGATTTGTCTCTAGTCGCTTTTTTATATCACTAAATATAGCGACAAAGACTAAGTTGGCAACATTGGCCTTTTCTGTTATTTTTGTAGGTAGCCTAAATGTGAGACGTTGGCAGTCCACATCTGCTGCGTCTTCTGAACAAAACTGACGTAGTCTTTCGTAGAGTTTCCTGACGTATGACGACGCTTTGCAGGAGACCGCGGCGCGATGATTCGTCAAAGTTGCAGAAAAGTTGCGGTGATTTTTCAAAATTGCAAGGCGCACTGAATTCACGTGGATTTGTTGAAGTTGCGTTAATAGTTGCGATCGCGACATCGCGAAATCCTGGAGGGACTGCCTAATGCATGACTCCTATGCCACTGTAATCATCTTTACCTCGATTACGATCGTCATCCGTCAAAACTTTACTAGTGCAACACTGGTTTGCTTTATCCAACCGAGAGCTGTAGTTTGAGTATCGTAATGCTCATGCAGCAGTTAGGTGTTTTGAATCAGTCTATATTTCACAGCACCGTGAGAAACAGCTTGGGATGCTCTGGAACAATTACAGAATTGGAAAGAGAGGGTTTTCTCGGCATTGGTGATGTTTTTGGCTGACTGTTTGAATGGATTCGGTTTATAGGATCCTTGGACTGAAAACCTTCCAGAACATGTCAGAGGAGTCGTGCCCCACACTTGGAAAACTTGTGCTCTAGTGTAAGAGCATCGGGGAAGATCAAAGTATCTGCTTACCATCACAGTTTTCTTCACAAGATTTCTTCATACAAGCAAGCTGAGCCAGATATTTCAGGACCAGAATCCTGAGCCACTTAGGTAAGGGAGGAAAGTCACGGGAGCCACATAGGATATTGGTGATGATGACAGTCTCAAGTAGACTTGCTACCATCAAGGCCATGCAGAGAGAGAAAAACACATCTAAGATCGAGAGAAAAAGATCAGATCAGATTAGGCTGGAGGTGAAGAAGGATTTCCTGATTCTGAAAGAGTCCTGGGCTGTGTTTTTTAAATGCCTCGAGAGCGCAAGTACAGTAGTACAGATCGTAGAGACCATTTGTACCATTGATAGTCTACGATGCTGAAACACAGCCCAGACTGTTTTATGCCAGAACCTAGACATGAAAAACTTAAACCCAAAGTATATTTCACTTTTTGTCTGTACGCTAACCTCTGCACGTAGTGCATCACCAGTAAGCGCATACATTATACCTGCAGCCCGATTTTTCTAGCTACGCATACTCTTTCTCTATCTATCTCTTTTTTGCTCTAATTAATTTGTCCAAAAGGTGGTAACAGTGTCCCCGGGATATTAATTCACAATGTAGTCAAACAATGAGGGATGAGACTGACACACCAAAAAGGTCAGAAAGTACCCATTTGTACAACTCTAGCTTAAAGACTAACAATATGGTTTTATGGGTTATAACCCATGCTGAGAAATTGGAGGAATGAAGTATTCCGCAGACAGAGTGCAAGTTGTTGTTAGTGCATGCATTGACCTCCTTTGGGCCAATCCCAATTCTACCCCTTACCCCTTCCCTTTCCCCTAGCCCTACCCCTTCGCCTTCCCCTTGACCCTTGAAACAGAGTGGCAATGCGTAGGGGTGAAAATATTCCCCTAAGAAATGGGACACCACTACGCCTCTGTTAAACGTCATTATAAGTCGTCGCTAGCGCCAACGCCACAGGATATGCGCCGATGTTTATCACAACTTCCAAGATCCCGTCGACAGCTGCAGTTATCTCAGTCGCGTGGGTAACAGCTATTTTCTTGCATCTTGTGAAGTTCGCAGGAAACAACGGAGACGACGAAAATATGTTGCGGGACTATCGTTAGCAAACTACAGTAATTTTAGCGATTTTTTTTTTTTTTTTACAAACGTTTCTGTGAAGAAACTGACCGTAAATATGAACACAATATTGAATGTAACATAAAGCAAATCATTATTTGTCGTTATAATACTTATTAAAGCCACAAATACTTAAATTTATGGGTCTCCTTTGTCGCTTGGGCAGCCAGCCTGGGTTAGCAGTGACACTTCTCATACCCCTTCGTTTGAAGTGTGCTCCCGAAAAATCTTCGTTTGAAGGGCTATCTGGCCCTTCACCCTAGCCCTCCCCCTCCAACCAAAAGAGAATTGGGACAGCCCTACCCCTTCACGTGGATGCGCAAAATGGAGGGGAAGGGGAAAGTGAAGGGGTAGGGGGTAGAATTGGGATTGGCCCTTTGTATGCGTAAACGTAAAATGTAGTATACTTTGAGAGTCTATGCCTTCAACTGTATGTAAAAATGAAAAATAAATTGTACTTTCAGTTTTAAACTGATTAGCCAGAACAACCTTCAAGATTAAACTGGTCAACTCAAGGTCTTTAATACCTTGAAAAAGCTAGCTGTTAGAGTTACCATTCATCTCAAGGATGGTCATCAAGAAATGTGTTCCTAGATGGTTGTTATGACATATACCAGCACTAACTGGGCCTTGCCAACCAGCCAAACTTTGACCTCTTTGGTTCACCAAAATACTCTCAATGTGTTGGTTGCACCAGCATCCCATGCTGGAAACCATCAACATTTTGCCTTTTTAGCAGGGTAAGGATGGAAAGAGACAAAATTAGAGAATAAGAAGGTTTGAGAACATACTGATAAGAGGTAAGTTGTTTCCTGTGACAGGCAGCAGGTCATTCATTAGCAGCAGGAAGACGGTGTAACCCAGGATGAGTGTCATTTTGAAGGAAGCACGGTCCACACTTTGAAGAGGCAGGAGGAAGCTGAAGAGATCCAAAGAAAGGAGGAGGCTGCTGGGGATCAGGAGGTTCACCACATACAGCGTAGCTCGACGTCTCAAGACAATCTAGTCCACAACAGTGAGGAAAAATATTAGTATCAAGTGTTCTCAAGTGTAAACTTCATTTCATAGTAGCAAACATAATACTTAGGGGTTGATTCACTAAGAAATTGTCCAACTTCCTTGTATTGTACATCTCTTTTTGTTGTTTTCAACTTAAAGCTATGGTATACGATGTTAAAAATCGGTCGAGACGGTAGGGAAGTTTTAAAAAACTCATCCCGCCCCTCCACACACACCCCCCTCCCCTCTGTGCTACCTGATCCCTGACGTATGTCACGTTTGAGTTCACGTCAACGCAAGATTAGCAACACATGAGATGTTCTAAACTCCCCACCACCATTATAATACTACTAGTATGGCTAAGGTTTTCAGTAATTGTTATTGCAGCACGCAGCGCAACTTGTTCAAATTCCGATCGGCTCGAACAGAAACCTCGAACAAGAAATATAATTACTTTGAACCGCGATCGGCGATGCTAAACGGCTAACATTCCAATGCCGACCGGCAGCATGAGCAAGTTGTCAAACTGATAAAAAGCCACGTAACACGTCACACCATAAAAGAATAAATAAATGTTTACCTGCTCAACAAAAAGTCATCCGTGTCAGCGTCGTTTTCAGCCCCAGATCTCCCTGAAGCTTTCTCCAATGGTCAATGAAGGACGCTATATTTATCCTACTTAGAGTCCGGCGTTCTTCACATTTCTTTTTAATCTCTGATCTTTCCTCCACAGACTTTCTCTTGCGTCCAAACTTTACAGTAGAGGTAAGCAGGGGCCGCTTGCTGTTGTCGTTTATATTTTTTATCCATTGCTTTATCCATTGCTGATCTGACGCTACTAGCTAGCTACCGTAGACAGTCTGTCAGCTGTTTGCTTGCGCACGGAGGGGGGCGGGGGCGGGTGCGGTTGGGTTGGAGACGCGAGCGCCAGGCGTAGTTTCAAGTGGAGCTGGTGATTGGATGAGAGCAGCTGACCAATATAAGCTGTGCGGCCGCACAGCTTACATTGGTCAACTTTTCTGCGGCTGTCCAGCCAATAGAGTGAATGGATTTTTTTCGTTCTTTTTTCTATTCATATTGTTAGGATTGTACTATATAACCATAACCAGCATCTAAACGAGGATATTAATAATGAACAATCTTTGAAATCGTATACCCTAGCTTTAATCTTCTGTTGTTTTTATATGATTATTTTAATTTTATTTCTGATATTTTCCATCCTCTTCTTCAACTAGAATGGTCCCACCAAATACTGCATTCAGTTCCTGGCACAAGTACAGACAACAAGCAAAACCATGTTTTTGCAAATGAACATGAACCTGCTTAATGTCACAACACATTCTAAACACTTGCATGTGTTCATACACACCTCAGCTAATCACTATCTAATTTGGGCTTGAACTGTATGTTACACGGACTCACTATTAACTTACCTGCATACTCACCTCACATTTCTCACTTGTTTGATCTCCATTTTCAATAAACTCTCTTGGTTTCTTCTCCCTACTCGGTGTTGATGTGTTGTTACAGAAATGCAAGACCAAAGACCATGAACCCAGTGGGAGAGGAAATTCTCTTGAATGGTTGGGAAATTCAAGAAGTAAGTGAAGAAGTTTTTGGAGTATTGCCACCAGGCATTGTGGAATGATCATATTCTGATGGACTTTTTTCTGGATGGACTGGACAACAACATTGGCATATTGTTGCCAGCAGGAGATTCCAACGTGACCCTGGCACAATATATGGACATTTGGTTGTGGCTGTGTGGCTCATCATTTACTGCACTGTAGGTGAGGTAGAGGATGACACTACCACTCAGATGCAGTCCTTCCAGTCCACTCCCTCCTGTCATGATGTCCTCGATCATCAACACAGAGCCATTCCCCATCGCAGAGCCAGAGCTGATGCCGATACCCTCTACAAAACCAGTACCTGCAGCCTTGTCCGTCCTTGAGCCAAAGCAGTCTGACCAGGTGTGTGAGACAGTTCTTACATCTGTACCTGTGGAAATTTTGGTGGAACTGGATGAGGAAGTGAATTGTTATCATCATCATCCTCCAGCATTAGAGAGTTCCAGTGTTTCCCAGTCAGAAATAATTGATGTCCTGGTTTCCTTCTGTTCCCAATGTCTTCCTCCTCCACTGGCTCAGGTCAGTTTCAAGTCTCCTATGTTGGCCAGTTCTAAGTCTTCTTCATCGTTGATGCTCTCTCCCTGCTTCCCAATCCCACCTTCTGTGCCTGTACAGTGTTGGCCAGGAGGCAATTCCAAAACTCTCTGCCTGTCCCGTGTCAGCCTAGGCAGCTGTTTTTGAACTCTGTTTGTCCTGTCACGTCCAAGGAGGCCATCTCATAACCGTTTACATGTGCTTCCCAGTTCTTCTGCCCTGTCTCCGCTGGCTCCATTCAGACCTTCAGCTCCTCCTTCGTTGGCTCCACCTAGCAGCTTGGATTCACTTTGTTGGCCAGCTCCACCTGTTGACCCTCTGGCCCTTCCTCTAACCTCCATCTTTTGACTCCATTTGGCTCCACCGTGCTCCTTCAGCTTCATCTCAGAGGCACCGGCCCTGCCTCAGTCGTACAGGACTCTGGCTTCATTTCTAACATTTGGCCTCCTGTCCCCATTTTTCTTCCTTTGTCTCCAGGACCTCCAGTGTCACCCATTCTAGTCGGATCTACCTGGTTCTCTACTCAGTCAGTCGTCCTCCTTGTTTCACCTGGCCTCTCCACCAAGGCTCCATTATGTCTCAGCTGTGGGCCTTGTTCCTGGAGCTCTAGCTTGAGGTGATGCTCTGGCTCCGCCCATCATTGTCTCCTCCCTGGTTTCTCCCACTGTCATCTCCTCCCTGGCTCCTCACACCATGGTCTCCTCCCTGGCTCCTTTCAACTGTCATCTCCTTCCTAGCTACGCCCACCATAGTCTCCCCCCAGGCCTCCTTCCACCGTCATCTCCTCCCTGGCTCCTCCCACCATTGTCTTCTCCCTGGTTTCTCCCACTGTCATCTCTTCCCTGGCTCCTCCCACCATGGCCTTCTTCTAGGCTCCTTCCACTATCATCTCCTCCCTGGCTCCCTTTTTGCCTACAAAAATATGTCATCTCTGCTGCACTCTTTGAGCTGTAATCAATTAGTGCAAATATACCTGCTTTGTGTAAAAATTAGGCTCATTGCAGATTGTGCCATATACAATTTAGTGATCTTAGAACCACAGAGTAACATACGCCAAATCATGACAGTAAATCGCTATTGTGACTCTTTCTTAGTGAATTACCCCTCTCTAAAATGTCACCAACATGAACAATGAGGTTATCCCATCCTCCTTCCAGATATAGCAGTACAGGTTTTTCTGTCAGCAAGTCAATCAGCTCCCACTCTCCTTTAGTTGTCATTGCTTCAAGAGACTGCTTGAATATCTGCTTCGCTGGCTGAAAGAAGAACAACTGAACATCATCACCTGTAGAGAATGAGACCAACAAGTACCATGTAATCACAAGTAGCCAAACAACTCAATGAATATACACTTTTCAGTTTTGCTCACTTACGAGAGTGTTTGTAAGAGTTGAAAGTGTATGAGCAGTTTTGGAAATCAAATGGAAAAGTGTAGATGTCCAGTTTGCATGAGCTGATCACATGAATCGGCCATGCATCCATAACTTCACCAGTAGATTCGACATAGACGTAATATGTGTCTGGTACTCGGTTTTCATCCATGCTGCAAAATGATGGTGGATAGCAGGTTAAAGATAGAAAGGGAAATCCAGCAAGAATTTTACTTTTTACATGTGCACAATCCAACACACTCACACGGCAAACTATTTTACATTTTGCTGAATCATTGGCTTATTCATAAGAATTCGTATGATCTCATTTGTACGTATTCTTAGGATCTGCTATACTTCCCAGTGACAGTTAGGTTGGGTTTGGACCTTAAAAGGGGGGTTGATTGCGATTTCACTTTTTTGATTTTAAATAGTGTGTAATGTTGCTGTTGGTGCATGAACAGTATCTGCAAAGTTGCAGCGCTGAAAGTTCAATGTAAGCAGATATCGTCTTTTAAAAATCAGGAAGTTTAATGCCTACAGAAACGACTCGATTGGGACTACAACGGGTTTTAGACGTCACTAACCCACACATTTACATCAACCCTCCCATATTTCTGCAGCTCGTCGAGTGTGTTATGTTCATCCAGCTGTCAGGTCTTCTGTGTTCCAGCTTCCCACGGACGCTGTACTTTGTCAACAATGGATACAATTTATGTTTGATTATGTTCCTGAAAATGACAATCATAATTCAGCTCTCTGTGCCTCGCATTTTACAGAAGACAGCATCCAGAATCTTCACGAATTCAATGCCGGATGCAACAAGAAACTGTTACTAAAACATGATGCAGTTCCAACTTTAAAACCAGAGGCAGCAGTTGTTGGACCACAACCTTTAAGTAAGACTTCATCATTTTAAATGTATTGCATATCATTTCAGACCTAATGTTTTAGTTTCATCAAATACCAGTGCTGGCTTTATAGCCACTTAGTTATGCTATTTAGTGTCTACGACATATGCGTACAAACATTATGGACCTGAATTTGTATATGTACTAATTTTGTAAATGTATTTTTCATGTATATATACTTTATGACATTATTTTTCGATTTGATCAATAACGTAAACCAGTGCCAAAACTGTTCGTGTATAGTAGCCAGTTAGTTTGTTGTTATTGTGTAAAACAAACGTGTATAAAGTTAAAAAATATATATATATTGGCAAATTACCATTCAGAAGCGTTTTGTAAGAGCCGTGTGTGGTGAGGTTCTGCTTTTTGCGTTATTTCCGGTTAAGATGTTAGGATCCTCGATAACTTCCGCCGATCATAGAGTCCAATGCAATATCGAGAATTTATATCGAATTTTATACTCCATGGTTATACTAAAGAAACGTTAGTCACAAAAATAGATAAAACAGACGCCCCTCGTTGTGTTCATGCTTCTTTTTAAAATTATATAAACATAACTATATATAAAATTACATTTAAACGTATGTACGTTTTTTTTTAAAGATGGGAGGACAGTAAATTCTGAAGACTCTGCCATAATCCCGTTTTCCTCGGTTTTCCTCCGCTTTAATCTCCACAGCCGGAAATGGACGAGCATCCTTGCGTCAAATGCGGAACTTATGCGTGCATATAGCCCATAATGGTGAAATTTATGAAAAATAAGACTTAAAAAACAATTAGAAATAGTCCACAGATTACATGTCTGTAATTTATATATAAAAAATCTAGCGTTGAGTCTGGATCTCAAACAGTTTCATTAAAAGTAGCCTAGTTATTTCTCCACTACGTGCGAAACTAACGTGGTTGAACGAAAATTTGCGACAATGGGTTTCGGGAAACAGTCGTGACTAGCTAGTTGATTTTTCCAATGCATCGTACTATGGTAGTGAAGCAGCGAACTACGTCGTTGTACGGGAAACACACCCCAGAGCTGTTACATTTGACTTGTGCAACTTACAATTCGTTAATGACAATGTCTGGAACCCATAACTTCTCTCTTGGTAGTGAGATCTTTTTTGTTCCACACTCATCAGGATCCCAGCTCAAACCTTCAATCTGCCACCTCTACAAAAAATAATAATTCTTTCAGCACTGCTGTTTAAATAGTGCTCTTGCAATAGTTAAAACAGGCTTGGATAATATAATAAGCACTGTAAAATGTGATTGGAACACGCAAACCGGCAGTTAATAAACAATGTTTTTTTCATGACTCTTACCGTCCTCACCCACAGATATGTTTCCAACACCTGTGATTTTTCATTCTGAAAGGGAAAATATATAGATTATTTAACCATTTTTTTTAGTGAATTAGTATTATTGTAATGTTATAATTTTGTAATTTATTTTTTAAGTAGCCTAAAAGCTGTAGTCTTTCATAGATTTGCTTACCACTCCTAAAATGCCATAAAGACTCAAATCCACACTGACGTTGGTGGGAGTTTTCAGACTTATAACCGGCCTTGCCTCGCTGTAGCTGAAGACTTCCTCTTTCATGGCATTAAGGAGAGACTTTGTTGTTGGTTCTGAACAATTTAACGGCTCTATAGATCCTACCAAGAGAGCTGAAAGAACAATACTTGAATTCAGGATGTGACTTTTATTTATTTCAATCAGATTATAGACATTAACGTTCTGGTTATGCAGTGAACAATGTGGTTTGAGTTTGTTAATTAATGCATCTTTTTGGATAAACTTTATTTTTGATGGTCCACTTTAGGCATTACTAGTTATAAGTAACTTTGCAACTTCATGTCAACTAACTTTCATTGGAGTATTAGTAGACTGTTATTAGACTGTTAGGTTAGGGTTCGGATTTGTGGAATAAGTTGATCTAGTTTTAAAGTTAATGTAGATTTTCTGTTGAGGAGCATCAAAATAAAGAGTTAGCAGGTATTAAGAAATTAAGCAGACAGTCTACTACTCTACAATCAAATTACTTTAAAACAGTAAAAAAAAAAAAAAAAGATTTGTTTGAAAATATATCTTACATTGTATAATGAAGTAGTTGGCGATCCACTGGAACCAAGTGTGAGTGGAAAACCATGTTGAAGCCTGTTGAATCTAGTATTTGCAATATATGGCAAATATGCCCAAAATAATTACAATGCCACTGAGTAATTAAAACTAAAGTACGGAGTCCCTAAAGGGACGTGGTGATGGGAAAAAAATGAGATGGGAGAAAAACTTTATTTCAATGCTTTTGCATTCTCTTTTGTTTTGCGTTCCCCTGAGAAACCCGAGCCAACGCAATGTTTCTTGATGGAGAAGCATACGTTTTGTGAGCAAACGCAATAGTTGTGAAATATATTTTTTTTCCTCCAGTCGTGTGCCTTTATGGGCTCCGTACAAAAGCTTTACTACGATTCAATAACATTTGCAAGATTTTAAACTGTACACAATTATAATTTCCCTTAACACTTTTTTAGTGATAGTTGGGCAAATTAAAAACTCCAGATCAAGACAAGCTAAAAAGAATAAAGAAACAACTTTTTTGTTGAAACAACAGCAAAACAACAGCATGCATACAAACATTTATAATAATGTTCCATGGCCAATACACATAAAATAAAAATAAAATGTTATAACATCAAAATTGTGATAGTTTTCTTAGTCTTACCTGTGTTCTTGGAAGACAGATAAAAGCCATCTGGTACTCAGTCAATTGGATTGCGATAAATATTTAGCAGACTTTCCTTTGCTTTGAGTTTTAAAGCACAACGGCTATAGTGGACATAACATAAATACTTGCTTTTTATATGACATATTTGTTTATACAAATTAGAATAACCAGAATAGGGGACAATTTTTTCACACCCATTTTCTAAAATCAATCTCAATATTTTAAAACCATTCGACAATATCCAATATTTGCTTACCAGCAAGAAATTTGCAGTCATCAAGATGAAGGCAGACTGGGGCCTGAACCAGAATATGAGCTGCTTCTCTGGTAAGAAAAGTTCTCGCAAATGTTTTACAGGCAAACTCAATGCCAGTTGTCTAGAGTTGTATCAATGCTCTTGTCTTTCTGTGGGTGAGATGGTTGAGTTGACAAAGTCTTGGCAATAGTGGTTCTTGGCTGTTTCTGTTTTTAACCATTAATAGATTTTTCCTTTGTAACCACTTAGCAAAAATAAAACAACTGTACCAACATGCCAAAACGTCCAGTTTACTGCCTACTTTTAAAAACAAAGATTCTTCATTGCCACCGATGAAGGTTCCAACAAGAACCATTACAAATCTTTAAATTTAATTAACAATTACAAATCTTTAAATTTAATTAACAATTACAAATCTTTAAATTTAATTTAACCTGTTAACTGTCACCCCCCCTTTTTTGAATAGACATGAAAATGCACATTTCGAACTTAAATGGTTGTAATTCAAGAATGCTTTGGAATATAGACATATGATTGGTCTTGTTTTAAAGAAGACATTTGGCAGATTTTTGTAGAAGTGAAATGAATTAAGAAAGTTAAACAGAAAAAAAGTTATAGAAGTTTGAGTTTATGGAAATGTACAGTGTAAAAATATTAATTATTCATATTTTACATAAAATATATATTTTCAAAACCTGGGCTACTCTAAAATGTCAGAAAGATCAAAGCCAAAAATCTGAACAAGTTGTGTTTCAAATTTTAGGTTGATATCTCAAAAAATGAGCTTTCAGTAAGATTTTGTTTGAGCGCAGTACCAAACTTTTTCACTAGGGCACAATCAGACTCCATTATTGCCCATATAAGGGCGCCTGCATTTCCATTCGTGTTTTGAGTGATATGAACCATTATTTTCACAATTTTCATACAATTTCTGAAGTAGAGATCCTATTCAGAAGGAGCATGGGAAGTTTGGCAGATTTTGATATGAATTGAACCTCTAAGAAACACATAGAAAGAACACGCATGTAAGTCATAGCTAGCTGCCACGTCACAAATGGTGAATTTATTATTTTTTTCTTGATATTTCAAACTTTTCAGACCTTTTTTTTCCAAAATAATTGAATGGATTCTATCTTTTGAACTTTTGGCATGAAAACAAACTGAGGTATCTACCATTTTTTCATGATTTTTCATGTTTACTGCTATTTTAAAATAAAGGTCTGAACACGCCTTATGAGTATGAAAATATTCTTGTTTTATATTGATAAATTATGGCTCCTCTGTAATATATTTTGAAAATCAGTCACCAAATATGGAAACTAGAGATTGTAAGCTTTCAAATGATATATAGTTTGTCAATATTATTTAAGGTATTTACTAAGATATTATTGTTTTAGAAATATAGTGGCAAACGTCCCACCTGTGGGACGGTGACAGTTAAGTGGTTAAGGTTCTTCTTATTTATTTTAGCAGCACCAATGTGTAACGTCCATGGTCTCATTCATGTACAGTGATGTCCCTAACATCAGTTGTCTGTTTCATTAAAATCTTGCCCAAAAGCTCAAATAAAATGACGGGCGTAAACCTATAAGTAAACCTGTGGCGTAAACCATGTAGAACACCACTATAAACTACAATCCAAAATGCTTTCCTGTTTAAGAAGGACAACAGGTATTAGCTTAGCTTGCTAAAACAAGCACACTTGAGGATTTATACATTTTATCAGAAATGTCCTACTTCCCACTTCTAAAGTCGTGGTTACAAGCTTGTTGCATTCAAGTGATTTGTTGTCAGAAAGAACAGGAATCATGGAGGACAACAGGTTTATTCTTGACTATTTCTTGAGGAAATCTTAATACAGCCAAAATGTAAAGATATTTAACTTTGTTGTGCCGACGATTCTGGAATTTCGGTCAAATACAGGCTATTTTTTGCTGTGTATAAAACATACAATATGCTTCAAATGATTTTTCATATATGTAAATATGCACTGCATTAACGTAAAGACAAGGTGATGTGGCTGTTGTTGAAAAAAACAAAACAAATAAAGAAGAGCAGTCAGAGCAGCAATCGTTCTCCTCTCCACCATGGTTCTCGGGGACTTGGGTATCAAAATGAATCCCGAGCTTCCAGTAGTAAATCCATTTGAGAGAGCGTTCATGTCCAATTTTCAACTAGGAAACTCATATTTATGATCATTTGAAGGCGGCATAAAATTTAATGCCAAAAAACGAATGGCAAACAAATCTTACAATTGAGTCATGAGAGTAATAACAAACCTCACATGGTCTCCTACTCAGGCAGTGACCGCAAGGGTTTAATGGATCATACAAACTAAGCAAACCAAGGTTGAGAACACTTATGCTACGCTTACGCTATGTAAATGATGGGCATTTGCAAAACCTGAAATTTTGATTAAAATTAAACAACCAGATCCTGCATTGTCTTTTATCTCTTTGCGATCTTCTTCTTTTCATAATCTTTTTCTCAGTTTCGGACTAGACAACATTTTGTCCAGTCAAAATGGAGCATAAATGTAATGGTGATTGAGTGTGACCTGGATGCACCATTGAGTGGTGACAATGTTGCGCCTGAATGCGTTCAATGAATGACCGTGTTCATATCGGTTCATATTTTGGGCGAACGTGAACTGAACGTGTTTTATCCAGTGTGATTTATCACTTTACCACTATCTTGTTTTTTCTTATCCTCCTCTTCCTTTCTCTTTCTGGCTTTCTGAAGCATAATTCCGCTTCATGATGACTGCCGAGGAGGTTTGCCTGATGAACGTCACTGTGAACTTGTTCATTCTCGTGTCTGTGAATGCACGCTCTCTCTGTTTAACTTCATTCAATAGGGTGTCAGATTTCTATAGAACCTTCCAGGCGAAAACCCGGCTAAAAAATACATATGTAGCAAAAAAAACACCCAATCTGGCAACACCAGCCACCAGTGTCGCATCGCGGCTGGCCGCCGTCAAAAAAGCAGCGAGCGAGGAGGCGTCTTTTGGTCATTTAAACGGCAAGGTCGGTGAGGATGGGAAAAATCTTACATTTCTGTGCAAACTTTGCCCGTCGATAAAATAATTGTTGTCTGTGGTTGTATATGGGCTGTGGCAATAATATTAATGTTTAGAACTATATCTTTGTCATTATCGTTATGGTTGTCGTCCTTGATGTAAGTGTCATACTATTACTATATTGACGGGCCTTAAGTGTCATATCCTGTTTTAAAATTTGTTTTAAGACTCTTATTTTGATGTTTATTTTGTTCTGTTGTATCCGTGTTCGAAATCAATCCCTATAAACAGGGAACAGCCATTTGTTGTGTTGTCCGTAACCATGGTGGACCTTATCATGTGCACTCGTTCAATCCCATAATGCACTTCAATAACTAGTGTACAACCAATGTACACTCAACGGTTAGAGAATACCCATAATGCACTTTGAAGGTCGTGACGAAGTAATTCTTGATTTAGATGATGATTCCAGATGATGACACCTGTAGCCCAATCATCCATTCATCCATTTTCCAAAAGCTGGTTCAATAGAGTGGCGCAGTTATGCCATTGGATTTTTCCCATTGGCTAACATAAGTAGCTAACATAAACATATTTTTGCTAGCCTACCAGCTGCAAAATTGCACCATTTGTACAAGACAAGTAGAGCTGTTTTATTTATCATAGTGTAATTTATCACTTTACCACTCTCTTGTTTTTTCTTATCCTCCTCTTCCTTTCTCTTCTTTCTTTTCTGGCTTTCTGAAGCATAATTCCGCTTCATGGAGGTTTGTATTTTGCCGGCAGAAGAGATCACGTGGTTGGCTGGCTGCTGTCAGCGAATTTTGAGAGGAGCCCCCTTGAGGGGAATCCCGATAACAGTGTCATTGCACTTTACAACATTGATTATCAAAGGGGCGCTCACAGTTTGTGAGTGCATTTTATTCTTAACCAGTCGTTGTTTCTGGGCTCCAAGCAATTACTTGGTTTCCTTGCCTTGTTGCGACAGGCCTGCTGCAGGCCAAAAAGTATCCCATTGGACGCAGCTGCCATCAGACCTACCAGTCTCAATTTTTTTGACAGTGAGTGACTGGCCTTGCTTTATCTTGCTCACAGATGTGAGGATAGAATCGATATAAGCAGGAGATAGACGTGCCTGCATTGTCGTAGAATCCCACACCACAAAAGAACCCGGTACTGGAAACTTTGCCCCCAAAAGCAAACTGAGGAACATCCTGTGTTAAGGAAGGATAGAATATGGCAGTTTGCGTCCTAAAGATCTACCATGAAAAACCAGTCCTTGGATCTGATTGTGTCACGATTCGTCTCACAGACTGAAAATTGGACCCAATCCTGCATCCTTCTTAGGAATGATAAAATACCGGCTGTAATCCCGGACTCTCTGTTGGGTGAAAGTACAGGTTCTATTTTCCCAGCAAGGCCTTTACCATTTGTTCCATAACCAGAGCCTGTCCTCAGCCTGGGCTCTGATGTTACAGATGCGCCCCCAAAGCACACGAGGTGGCGGAGTTGGCAGGCGGAGAGGGCAACGAAGGGCACCCTGAAGGGGACTGCTCTCAGAGACCAGAAGACCTGAGACCTGGAGAAAATTATGGTTTCAATACAGACTCAGATATTAATACAGACATCTAACTCCAAAGCCAGAGAGATATTTCATTCCTCAAAAGTAAATGCAGCCAAGAAAGAAGCAGATAAGAATACTTGGTCTGAATGACAGGCTGAATATTCATTGTATAATCTCAATTGGCCATATCAGTCAGGACTTGAGTTTGATAATTGCTCTCCCCCTCCACTGGGGGAGTGGCGCCACTGGTTGGAGGGGTCTGTGGAGCCGTTCCTGTTCCGGACCGATCATCAGAACCTGGAGTACATTCAATTGGGCAAACGGCTGATCTCCAGGCAAGCCCCTCTCCAGCCCTTAAGTTTACTTTTCCTTAACCTTTAAATGATTTGCCTCTGTTATTGGACATTTGTCTGTACCTGGATTATTCTCTGCCCTGTTCCTTGAACTGTGTTTGCTGGTTCTGACTCTGCCTGCCTCTTGACCATTCTCCTGTCTTGCCCTCTTGCCTTGTTGCCTTGTTGGACTGCCTAACTTGCTGACCCTTATCTGTCCTTGGACCATGGAATCATCTCGTTCCCCTATGCTCGGTGGCTCGGCTGCCTGATTAAATGTTATTTCCTTTTACTTTGATTTTTGTACAATTAACTGTTGGAACTGATCTGTTCTTGGGTTCGCTGTTTTTTGCGTCCAGTCGTTTCAATATCACCCTGCCCTAATTGAAACGCACATCTTTTTTGCTGATCATTTACACACATTAGGAATGTTCATGCAAGTTCTCTGTGGCAGGCTATTAAGTTGTATAGAAAATAATTTTGTATTGTTCCTTAGTTTGTAAAAAAAAAACAAAAAAAAAAAACAAGCAAAGATTAACAGTAATATGTTTGCAATGGAAGTTTAATGAGTGAAAAACAAAGATTCAGAGAATTTAAGTGAGGGTGAACTCTAGTGACTATTAGTATTGATGCAAAATAAATATTCATTACACAAATCTGCTTTCTTTTGCAATATAAAACAAAACAGAAATCCTTGTATCCAAAGATTATTTTCATAATTTACATTATGTAGCATACTTGTATTGCCTTAGGCCAGGTTTCAAATTCATTTTAGGTCAAAAGCTAGATATTGTGGACTGAGTTTCTTAGTTATACAGTGGTCTACCCATTAAGAGCGCACAGTGTTATAATACATGTGCTTGTGCACCTACCAAATGCTGCAATGTCTGCAATTAAAAGAAAGTTTCTGCTGCTTTAAGACATAAGCTAACAAAAGACACTGTGTGAGGAGTCCATGTATGCAGTTGAGCAGCCTTTAAAGAGATGGACCAGTGAATTTGTACATCTGGATTTAAACGTACATTTACAGCTTACAGGCCGGGATATTATAGTTTTTTGTTAAAACTGGACCAGTACAACCAGAATATTAGTATGGTGAAGAAGCTAACAGTGAGGAAAACAACATACAAAGCAAACAGAAATCGATCAATGACCTCCCCCAAGTCTATCCAGTCCTTTGAGTTCTGACCACCGGAGAAATGCTTATCAACATGCTGGCGAATGGTGAGTAAATCTTCATGTTGCATCTTTAGTTCCTTCAGTTCTTGCCCATCAAGATTTAATGGTGTTTTAATGCCCTTTTCATGGGATATAGTTTGGTTTCTTTCTTTCTCGGGTGAGCAGGAAATTGTGTAAATGGTGTTTTCTGTTGGCAGAAATAGTTTGATTTATTAATGTGATCTATAGATAAGTAAACACAAGATTTATTATTGATATGTTGTAAATAGACATGCTGCATTATTTTTAAAACTTATGATTTTGATGTTTATGATATATTCAGTATTTTATTTATTTGTTTTCATGTAGATGCACACATTATATACTGCCAGTTGTCCCACCGGTTTAATATTATTTGCTTGTTTTTTTTTGCAGAAAATGTTTGACTGGTTGTTCAGTCAGTATGAGACTCACTTTGGGGGGCAGAATTCTGGTCAGAGATTTTCTGGCCCAAACAAACCATTCTTGCCAGGTAATGCAGGAACAACACTTTAATCCAGTTTGGTAGAGGAGGATGGTCACTCGAGCCACAAAGAATATTAGTAACGACAATTGTCTCCAGTAGACTGGTCACCATCAGTGCTAAACACACAGAGAAAAACACATCTGCAGGGACAGAGGGAGATAATAACATAAGTTCCCAACCTTCAAATTAAAGTTATTGATCTACATATCAGTGGGTCCTAAACTGTGGTATAGAAGGTCTGTAACATGACACTTGACATTTACAACATTAGTCCCCCTCCTGTTAAGTTTGATAACTTGAAGACCATTTTAATAGACTGAAAAGGATCAGGTGAATACTTTGTGACTTATACAGAATCTTGTGATACTTAAAAAGCTTCAAATGACCACCATGAAAATGTTACTTTTGTTTGTGGTCTTATAAAACCTGATATAGAAAACATTAAGAAAAAAATAATTAACACAAGCTATGATTCACTATTTCTGGAATGCAAACTCTTGAAGCTCACTCTGACAGATTTGCTTTATTATTTATTCTAGACACATGTCTGCAAAGTGCACGGTTACTTTACGGTAAAATCAGCTAAAGCTTTAATAATATCCACCTGCTGGATTTTAAGGCAGAGAAACGTATTAATGAAATTTAAATAGCAAACTAAGGACAATCTCAATAGAGGGTTAAAAAAACGTTCCTGAGATAATGGGAATGAGCTATGTCTCTGGCACTTATGGAGGACACTCAGTTACAACAAATATGGAAGTCTGATTGGTTCACATCTGTGCAGTTGCACAGACAAATGGCTTTTTAAGCCCAAGCCAAGGTTAGGTTAGTAACTGGAACATTCCCTTTCAATTCACTCGCATTGTGTCAGTCTCTGATGATTTTGGAGAACGCACTATGAAACGCTTTGCTACTAGCACAGAATAGAGGCTGTCCTGTGAGGCCGTGGCCTGGTGGCGGTTAGTGGCTAGATTCAGGCTAGATTCAAGGACCTAGAATGTCCAAAGATGGCAGCCTCAGGTTTGGGAACGGAGCCTGTGGGTGTGATATCTCCAAGAAAAAAACCTGTGTGGAGACTGATTAGACAGACAGAATTCGTGCCTGAAAGGCAGGGATGTCTAGGTTATAAAACCCGATAACGGTGAACAGCGAGGACCAGCCGGCCTCCATACAGATGTCAACAATGGATATTCCAGCCCAAGAGGAGGCCATTTCTCTGGTGGAGTGGGTCCTCACCCCAATAGGGCACTTCAAGTCCAAGGATTTGTAAACTAGCAATATCGCATCTACTATCCAATAGGACAATCTTTGTTTTGTCACAGGCAGTCCTTTAGAGTGGCCTCACAAACTCTGCCTGAATTGCCTGGAGCGCTCAATGTACACCCTAAGGACCCGAACTGTTTAAAATGGGTGTGGTATCTTTTCACACTCAGTATAGGGGAGAGCAGAGAGTTAAATGACTTATGCCCTAAAAGGCATGGACAGCTCCTTAGGCACATAGCCTCATCTGGGTTTAAGGGCAACTTTGCTGTCATTGGGCAGGAAGAGTCCACTGAAAGAGCCTGCAGGTCACCAATTCGCTTGGCCGATGTCAGAGCCAGCAGGAGAGTGGACTTTAGCAAGAGAGGACAAAGGTTGACTGTCTTGAGTGTCTTAAACGGAGGGCCCCGATGTGCCCTCAGGACAATAGACAGGCCTCAAGAAGGGACCGTGTTAGGGCAAGGCTTGTTAGGCCTCCTTGCACCTCTGAAAAATCTGACCACCAGGTCGTGTTTCCCAATCGACTGTCAAGAATACTTTGAGAATGGACGGAATGCGCGGTCGAGAGGCCACATGTGGAAGCTCCACAAATCAGGTTAGGCATGCCAGATTGACTCCTTCAATTGGCAAAGGAGGTCCCTTCTTAGCAGGATTTGGCCCTTGTGCTTCAGACAGAAGCTGAACCATTCCCGGGAACCACTGTTGGTTCTGTCAGAGTGGTGCCATGAGTCTGAACATCTGCCCTCCCTGATTTGGCTGATGACCTGGGGGAAGACATAAAGGCGCAGAGAGGGCTACCTGTGGGCTATCCCCCCTTTCCTTCAAAAAGAATTTGGGCAGTGGATGTTCTCTTTCAATGCAAAGAGTTTAGCTTCTGTCTTACCAAAAATGCTCCAAATCATGTGGACCATCTGTGAGTGGAGTTTCCATTACCCTTGAGGGGGTCTGTTCTGGGACAGAATATCTGCTCCACTTTTCATGGCGCCTTGCACGTTTTGCTCTTAGTGAGCAGAGATTGTTCTGTACTCACAGAAGGAGGCATCGTGCCAGTCTGATCAGTAGACAGGACCTGAGACCCCCCTGATAATTTATATAAGCTACCACTATCATGTTGTCTGACCGGACAAGAACAAAGTGCCCTCTGAGTTCAGGTTGGAATTCCCTGAAGGCCAGAATCACTGCCATCCAGGAAGTTATGCCAGCCCAATACTGGCTCTGTCCAAAAGCCAAAGGATGGCCTGGCGTCACACAGGGCGCCCCAACAAGTCTTGGAGGCATCTGTCAAGACTACTTTCCTTCTGAAAACCGAGCCCAGTTCCACTCCCATCTGATACTGTGAAGGTCTCCATCACAGACCGTTCTCAATAACGGTATGTGATGGGGAGCCATCTGCATATGAAAGTAGGCATCCTTCAGATCCACTGCTAAAAACAAATCCTCTAAATATGATTCTCTATAACAGTGAAAAGAGGTCTGGCACCCATGCAACTGGTGGGATGGTGGGGTTGTGGAAGTGGGCAACAAACACAGGACAAGAGTACTGGAAACAAGCACAATGCTTCCAACACCCAGAACTAAACAGGGGGTTGCACACATGTGCACACATGCTCGTTTTGATGGCAGTCCAGGACTTAGTCTCCTCCTTCTTCTGCCCAAGACATCAGGGCTGCTTGGGTGGCTCAGGGTCCAGTAATAGTTTAGGGCGTGGTCCCTGGGTCTTGGGAAATGGGTAGGGCTTTGCAGGACGTAAGACCTGCTTCACCTCAGGTCCCGCCTTCTGCTGGGACTAAGCAGTTGGGGGAGCTCGCTTGGTGTGCCCCTAAGCCGACATGGATTTGGGGCGACTTGAAGCAGCCAAGAAACTCGTTCTCTTTGGCAGAAAATGGCACATTGCCTGTGATGTCTTCTGCGCCACCATGAAGTGTTCAGTGAAGCCATCCACCTCGGAACCAAACAAGCCCAAAGGAGAGATTGGGGAGACAAGGAAGGCTGTCAACATCCTTGATCTCTGTTGAGTCCATGGTGGCACTCAAGAACAGTTGTCCCTCTGCATGGCTTGGATGAGTAGAAGGCTTTAGACTTTCAGCTTAGGGCCAGGGATGAGAGGCGGCCTCCTCTAGTGGGTTAAGTTTCGAATAGCCCTTTTCCTCTGCACCATCAACCGTGGTGAGGACAGATGATCTTTGCATGAAGGAGACAAATTCTGACTCAAAAGGCTTTTTACCGTGGCTTAAATAGTCGGCCCGCCTGTTTTGGCTGGCTGAAAAGCCATTAGTCTGTGCAGTTGCACAGACAAGAACCAATCTGACTTCAGTATTCTGAGAAAACATAATATAAATAAATGTTTATATACAGTGATAACAGACTTATAAGAGGGATGGTGTCTCCTGTGACAGGAAGCAGATCGTTCATGAGGAGAAGGAAGACTGTGTAGCCCAGAATAAGAGTCATTTTGAAGGCAGAACGGTCCACACTTTGAGGAGGCAGGAGGAAGCTGAACAGATCCACGGTAATCAGGCAGTAGCTGGGGATCAGGAGGTTCACCACGTATAGAGTTGGTCTGCGCTTTAGGACAATCTAATACGAGACAACCATTAGAACAATAAACAAAACAAAAATCAAATAAATTGTCATATTTTTTTCACAAATATTCACAATATTTATCAACTACAATATTTAGGAATTGAAGGTGACACAAACATGATAAACAAGTTCATCCCAGATCTCCTGGCTGTTACTGACAATATATAAGCTGCCAGTTTTTCTGCCGGTTATGGAAATCAGTTGCCACTCCCCTTTAGTCTCCATGTACTTCAGGGATTTTTTTAACGTGTCCTCCACTGGGTCTAAAAATGATAGATGAATATCTCTATCTGTAGAGGGAGAAATGAATATGCAGATTAATAATTATTGCATTTCTATGTTTTCATTTCCCATTTTGAGAAATCGTTTTTTTTTTTTTGTAAGTGAGATGACTAAAGACATTAATATTCTGCTGACTGCTATCCAAACAGATCGCCAAAACCACACAAATTACATTTATTTATTTTTATTATCTTAAATCAGAACTGAATGTTAACATATTATTAATCATGATTAGATAATTTAATTTACATCCTAAACAAAGTCACTTTACTTACTTGTGTGCTTGTACGAGTTAAAAGTGTAGGTGCAGTTTTGAATGTCAAAAGGAAATGTGTAGATGTTTAGGTTGCAGGAGCTTATCACATGGACTGGCATTCGATCTTCTGCTTTGCCATTGTTGTAAAGATAAACATAATATGTCTCTGGGGCTTGGTTATCACTCATGCTGAAATTAAATAAGGCAGCATGACACAGACAGCAACAACAGTTGTATTTATTAGTATTAGACTAAAAAAAATACTGATATTATAGTTGGTTAGACAAGTTGAGTTGACTAATCAACAACCACACTGTGTTGATCTTGAAAATATGTTGTTTTGCACATTGGGTACTGTAAATTGACCAAGAAGCATTCAGCATCTGCAGCTATCGATTTAGTAATTCTCAGTGATTTGCCCATTTTGTCCTGTCTGTAACATTTACTATTTACACTTCATTGACCAGTGGGTTTAAGATGTTACTAAGTTATTATATAAATAACAAAGTTGTACAGTCCAAGCTTCTAAGTAATGATAAGTCGCTGTATTATTAGAAAAATAATGGGCACTCGAGGTGGTAATGCAGTCACGGCATGCAGTCACAACGCAATTCAGGTGTGCATTATTTTTCTAATGCAATAGGCCTAGAGTCAGTTATTCCAATTATTGTATTGGTTAATTGGAAAAAATCAAATTGAAATCAAACATTCAACTGCCCTGTAATAGAACCTTATTTAATTGTTCAATTTATAATGTTGTATTTTATAACTCACAATTCATTGATGACAAGATCAGGCCTCCAGAGTTTTTTTCTTGGCAGTGTGATTCTGTCTGTTCCACATTCATCAGGATCCCAGCTCAAGCCTTCAATCCTCCAGTCCTTTAAAAAACGCAAATATTAATTGATACATTTTCTGTTTATATAATATAAACACCTTTAAAAACTATTTTATAAGTATCAAAATATCATATTTAAGATTTTAGGATTTGAAGGAAAATATAACAGTTCATAATCAATAAGGTGACTGGCAAGGTGCCAGTTCATAATAGCCAATCCTTACAAACCGCAGCCAGATAAATGAATCCAAGATTTGCGCTTTTTCATCCTAAAAGGGAATACGTCCACAATTTCTATTTAGCCATTTGCAAATTATTAATGTAATGTGACTGAATACTGTGATTGGCATATTTGGATATTTACTTACCACATCCAAAATGGCATACAAAATTAAACTCAAACTGATATTTGTAACTGTTTGTGGATCAATAACTGGCCGCATTTGGGTTTTGTTGAAGACGCTCTCTCTGAGTGATTGTAGGAGAGACTCTGCGGTTGGCTGAGAGCAGTTTAAGGTTTCTGCAGATCTCATGAGTGCTGCTGCCCGAAGGATTCGGCCCCAAAGAGAGAAAACATTACCAAGATAAGCATGAAGGAAACAAGCTATATACACACTAAACCAAAAAGATATATTACAGTCCTCCTAGAGGCCATGACCAACTGGCTCTTTTTTAAGATTTGCTCATGTTTGGGACTTGATTATTAAAATGATTATCTTACATTGAATAATGAAGCAGGTGAAGATGAAATGAGTTGTAGAAGATTGGCAGTTCATTGTCTAGCCTGCAATGACAATTGTAAACATTTGTTTCTGTATTCATGATAAAACCAAATCTTTAAAGGGTTAGTTCACCCAAAAAATCGAGCACAGGTTAAAGGGATACTCCACTTTTTTTTGGAAATAGGCTGCGTAATGATCAGGAAACTTCACTGTCGTACCATGAGTGCAGCAGGCGTAATGTTATGACGCAGCGCCTGAAAATAGCAAAATAGTCCCCAGCTTCTAACGTGACGGGACTAGGTTTGTGTATTCATTGCGCCTGCTGCACTCATGGTACGGCAGTGAAGTTTCCTGATTATTACGCAGGAATGAGAGTATAGTTCCTAGTCATATCAGCCTAGAAAATCGCAATTTTATATTTTCCGTCTGTCTTACCCCACGATGTAACTACAGAAGAGTTCAGTTTTAAATAGGAAAAATATCGAAACATTTTGGTAATTTTTATTCTGAGAAATGCTAATGGTCTAGTGCACTTCAATGATGTATGCTAAGCTATGCTAAAAGTGCTAATGCCAGAACCGGAGATCAAATGAATGGACTCAACAGTTTAACTCTGGGGGAGTTGTAAAATGAGCATATTTCCAAAAAAAGTGGAGTATCCCTTTAAGATTTTTAGATTTACAGTAGTCCAAGAGTTTTCTGCCCCTCCATTGAAAATGTATGTACGGTATACAGTCCTTGTCCAGAAAGGAAATAAAGACATCATCAAAGTAGTCCATGTGACATCAGTGGGTTAGTTAGAATGTTTTGAAGCATCGAAAATACATTTTGGTCCAAAAATAACAAAAACAACAACTTTCACACCAGATACACGTCAGCAGCATCTTACGTCAGCAGCGGCACTCAACGCAGATTGACAACAGAACTGAAAGACAATACAATGCTGAATAAAGTCGTACTTTTTGTTATTTTTGGACCAAAATGTATTTTCGATGCTTCAAAACATTCTAACTAACCCACTGATGTCACATGGACTACTTTGATGATGTCTTTATTTCCTTTCTGGACAAGGACAGTATACCGTACATACGTTTTCAATGGAGGGACAGAAAGCTCTAAATGTAAAATATCTTAAACCGTGCTCCGAAGATGCATGAAGGTCTTACGCCGCCTTCAGACTGGCAGTTTAAATCAGCTCCGTAATAGGCAATACGTTCCCAACGGACGTCGTACTACACAGTGAAAAGCGTCGGACGCGGGTAGAACAAAAATGACGGAGAGATTAAAGGTTGATTCTGTCAGTTCTGTATGATCTCTCTGATGAGGGTTATGTTGCGTGAGGAAAGTTGCTGAGGACGTTGACATGTCAGTCGGGTAAAAAATGTGATATAGTGGTCAATAGTTCAATGTTTACCTTCAATTTAATTGTGTTAACTGCCCTTATAAACGTTAGAAAGTCATGAAAATAAAAAAATGACACGACAACTTATCGTTATAAAATCAATATTTATTTGATTAAAAGTTAATAATTCAGGTTTGTTTATCAGTACCATAGCAACGGTTAACTTCCACTGGAATTGTCGGATAGGAAACGTCCGTAGCTTTTTGCACGAGTTCAAATTTTTGAACGCATCCGGATGACCAACGGACACGATTTTCTTCGCACCGCACTCGGTCGGACCCGTTTCCGACCCATTCGCATGCGGTCTGCGAATCTCCATAGGAAATGAATGACTTCCGGTCGTTTCGCAGCCGCATCGGAGCTGATTTCAACTGCCAGTGTGAAGGCGGCGTTACGGGCTTGGAACATTTGGACATCTTGGCTTTGGAAAATATGGTAACACTTTATAATAACTACACGCTAATAATAATTAGTTAAGTATGAGTAAACCATTAATTCATCATTCATAAAGCATTAATAGACATTAATAAGCAGTTTATAAATACAGCTATAAATGCTTTCTTCCTGATTTAAAAGCATATCTATAATTTGTTAAATAATTGTATTTTCATCCTTTATTAATGATCAATTTATCATTTCTAAATGAAGAATTGCATTTTTTATGAACCAGTTATTTGAGAGTTGTCAATGGTTCGTAAGATTACTTAGAGCGTGTAAGTAAACGGTTAATAAACTATTTAAATGTACATTCATACAGCTTATCATTCAGACATATAGTGATGGTTACTTAATGTGTTAATAAATGCTTTATTAACACGTATTAATGCTGTAATTAAGGGTTAATTTGGGTAGTTATAAAGCATTTAGTAATGGTCAGTTGACTATGTTCGTGAGCTCATCTAAAGTGAGGACTAGTGTAAAGCATTTTTAAAGGCTGTTAAATATTTCTATGTTCTGTATCACTGCGTTGTGTTTGTTACATTTTACTGTTTAGAAGATTGACGAGTCTTTAAATCGCCTTTATAAATGCTTTACAAAGCATGAATAGTCCTCACTTTAGATTAGCTCACAAAAATAGTTAACTGACCACTAATAAATGCTTTATAACTACCTGTATTTACTACATTTACTTACACTTTCTAAGTGATCTTATGAATGACTAACAACTCTTAAACAACTGGTTTGTAAATAATGCCCATACTTCATTTAGAAATTATTAATTGATCATTAACAAAGTATGAAAATACAATTATTAAACGCATTATAGATATGCGTATAAATCAAGAAAAAAGCATTTATAGCTATATTTATAAACTGCTTATTAATGTCTATTAATGTTTTATAAATGATGAATTAACTGTTTACTCATGCTTAACTAATGATTAATAGCATGCAATTATTATAAAGTGTTACCGAAAAGGTATTTAAATTCATATTAAACTAACAACAGTTTTTACCAGACCAGGTTCAAGTTGTTCGAGTTGCTTTAGTTAAGAGCAGTGTCCCTTTAAAGCAGTGTGTATTGTCGAAAATAAACTTTAATGAACGCCCTTTTCATATATTTTCAATACTTCCACTGTGCACTATGTCAGTCTTTTGTCTTGTGCGCAAAAGTGACTTGTTATAGCTGCAGGCTTCCCCCTCAGGAATACCTTAAAGTCAAACCACTTAAGAGGTTTCATGCAACCAAGCCCAGACCTAGATGAATGTTTAGTTTCACTTTATTTGAAGGTGCCCTTGTTACAGTGTAATTATACAAACAAGTTCTGAGTAATATTAATTGACAGCATGTACTTACTATATAATTAAGGTTAGGCTTTAGTTTATGGTTTGTTACTTAAAGTTTTGCGTCATTTAAGGTTATTACCAGTACATGTAAGATGTGCAATGGTCTATTTGACCAGTTTACTTGTGATTCTAAAAATCTTGACATACATTCATTAAATTCCTTTTGTGAGTGAAACAAATAATTTTTGGATAATGATTCTTAGAATAAACTTATTGGAATGCTACAAAGTAAAACATTTATTTCCAACAAACCCATTAACTCCTAATTATTTTCGGTTGAAACCCAACCTTCTTGTTAATTGCTGAATCTTACCTTAAATACTGACAGAAGTTATATATCCTTAAAGTACTTGGTCAGTGTCAGGGACCCACAGATTTTCATTTCAAGATCATTTCTCAGTTTGACAGGAACTGTGTTAGAATGGTGATTATAACAGAATGGCGAATAGCTGATTTGCTTAGGCAAATATGAACAATGAACACTTTTGCAATAGTCAACATTTTACTTCTGGAACATTCTTTTGAATACTTAAGCTGAGGTTAAGATATGCGTCATTGTTTAAAATAGTGGTTTAGATATGACTGTCAGGTATTTCTGTGTAGATAAATCCAAGAAAAGAGATGTATAAATAAGAATGGAGGAGCACTACACACATAAACATAGCATTAACACGATACAATGAACTGAAGAAAGCAAAAGTGAAATATTTGCATATTGCCACAAGCTTATTTATTTAATAATAAAACACTCACAAGCACATCCCACTTAACTTAACATAAATATAAACTGATGAATAAACAATATTATAAGGTAAGACAATTAAATAGCAGTACCAAATTAGTTTTTGTTAATACAAAGTTATAAAGTTAGTAAGTTGGTATGAGTTAAGGCTACAGAAACTACAATCTTTCATACTTTCCACATAGGATCGACAGCAGGTATCAGCTTTACATGCTTGAAGCAGTTGAAGATTTAGAGACATAAGGCATAAAATTTTACAGCAGAAAACATTGGCAAACAAATCTTAAAATTGAGTTATGAGAGGAATAACAACCTCACACATTCACCTACTCAGGCAGTGACCACAAGGGCTTAATGGATCATTCAAACTAAGCAAACCAAGGTGGAGAAATGGCTTAGAGAACTTGCACTATGTAAATGATGGGATTTTGTAAAACCTGAACATTTGATTAAAATTAAACGACCAGTTCCAGCATTGTCTTTGAACTCCTTGCCATCTTCTTTCGTTTTGCTCCACTAAAAGTTGTAGGTCAGATGAGTTTTGTGGAAAAATGGTAGAAGAGGTGTGTTGAAGAACAAAAATACTTAAAAGTACCTATGATGGCGTCAGTGCTGTCACAAGCTATGTTTCCATCCAAAATAGCACATTTAGGCTATGTTTACACAGAAACGATTCTGAAGAGAAAACGCAAAAGTGGCGTTCCGTCACCACTTTTTATTCTGCGTTTAGACGAGCGTTTTGAGTGTGCAAATGGTGACGCAAAAGTGTGTGAAATTCAATGTAGTATGCACTTCAGGCGGCTAGAAGTGTATACTACAACCACACCCAGTCCACGCGCCTGCGTACAAACTTCACAGTCAAGCAGACTTTTGCGTTTTTACCGTTTACACGAGAATGCGGCGGTGGAGCGTTTTTAAGATTTCCACTCTGGAGGGTGGTTTCACTTTTTTTGCGTTTTTAAGCCTCAAAAAAGCCGTCGCTGTGTAAACGAAAGGCACATCCGATAAAATATTTGTACGTTTTCACCCGCGAGCGTTCTCGTGTAAACAGACACTCAAGCTTGTCAAAAATAGCAAGACACGATCAGGAAAACTATCTAACATCGACAATAATGAACCAGGGACAACTGAAATTACAGGCTATAGACCATTTTGCAAGATGTAAACAACACTGGTCCAGAAGCACTTCCTGTTTCAGTTTTTTGACACTACACAAAAGCTGGGATAAAATACAACCAACAGAACATATAAAACTGAATCAAAAAGTAAACAACATCTTTAAGATTTTTTTTTTTACATGTGAAATAAAGAAAACAGTTACAAACTGAAACAGGAAGTGTTTCTGGACCAGTGTTGTTTACATCTAGCAAAATGGTCTATAAATACACAAGCAAACACTTGTGACTAAATGAGATAATTAACTAGAAACAGGTGTGACAAATAAGGGCAAATCAAACACTACGGCAACAGATGAACAAAGACAAAGGAAACTTAACTATAATCTGTGTAAAACTAACTCAAAATCCAAACCAAGCAAGCACAAACACAAATCAAACGTGACATTACCCCCAATCAAAAAGGAGTGTCCACGCACCTTAAAAACACGAACAAAAAATTTGAGGAAGGGCGGGGGCTGATGAGGAAGATGCAGAAGCTGTCACACGGGACAAGACGGAACCAGTGAGGAGATGACAACGGGACAACGGAAGAAGATAGGGAGGAGACAATGGCAGGAGGAGCCAGGGAGTGACCCCAAACAGCTAGCAGGATGATGGCCCAAAGTGTAGCCAATGGTGAAGCCTTGAAGGCAGAACCAGGGGAAGACGGTGGAGATAGAGACCGGGCGACACTGGAGACCTAGGCGGAGCCGTGTGGACCAGTGGCCGAGGTGAACTAAGAGGCTGTAGGACTGAGGCGGAGCCGGAGTGATCAAGGACCGAGGTGGAGCTGGTGGGGAGGAGGAAATCGACGGAGCCAAATGGGTGGAGGGACAAGTCACAGACAAGGGCCTGGGCCCTTGGTGATCCCATGGTGAAGGCAAAGCGACGACTGACGACCGAAGTAGAGGGACAGGGAAGCCTGGTGGTGCTGAAAGGATGATGGTCCCAGGCAGAGCAGAGGGAGCAAGGAGCCAAGGTGGAGCTGACTGGTTTTGGAGGTTCGAGGTGGTCAACAGTCTAAGGCAGAGTTGGGGAACTGGAAGTCTAAGGTGGATCCGAGGTGCTGAGAGGAGCCAGCAAAGGAGGAGCTGAAGGACTGTAGGAAGCCAGCCGAGACAGGGCAGAAGAACTGGATAACATGAGCAGAAGTTTACAAAACATTTTCCTTGGCAGTGACAGGGCAGGCAGAGAGTTAAAAAACAGCCTCCTTGGTCAGTATAGGACAGGTAGAGAGTTAGAAAACGGTCAATACAGGACAAGCAGAGAGTTCAAAGATGGCCTCCTTGGCCGATACGGGATAGGCAGAGAGTTCAAACACGGCCTCCTTGGCCGATACGGGACAGGCAGAGAGTTCAAACACGGCCTCCTTGGCCGATACGGGACAGGCAGAGAGTTCAAATACGGCCTCCTTGGCTGACATGGTGGTGGGAGTGGGAGGAAGAGTGGGAACATCCACAACAACTTAGACTTGGTGCTGGGAGACGAAACAGGCATGGTGCTAATCCCTTTACTCTCCTTAAATTACTCACACAATTTTGTAGAAATTACAAACAGCTCACCCTCGGCGGCAGGAGTATGGCCTGGGCTCTACTTAAAACTTTGCTAAACAAATGAAGAAATATTCCCTTTATGTGAACTTTTCCATTTCAGGTAATTCCACCATCATGATTAGCACCAATTAGCACAGATTATCTCGGCGGAAGAGGTTATTGTAGATCCTGCGATAGCAGTGGTCGGGAACCTATGGCTCACGAGCCATACCTGGCACTTTGGCAAAAATCATGTGGCTCGCGAGGTCTCTCACTTTTTACCTACAAACTAGCGAAACAAACAAAAAAAAGACACATAACTAGAGATCGCCTCTCAGCAGAAAAATCTGCCAATTACAATTCACTTGTGGCACAGTCTACCGAAGTTAGTTAAACGTTTATGATAATAATTATATTCATGTTGTACCGGCAAAAGTACATATGAAGAGTTCAGATGCAAAAGCCTCTAAATGCCATTTGAAATTTTCTTCTTTAATGATGATTTTTATCAAACTTGTATATTTAAGTTCAGTAATTTCACTTAAATGGCAATGATAATTACCTATTAATTGTTATTTAAGTGAAATTAATTAAATGAAATATACAAGTTTGATAAAAATCATCATTAAAGAAGAAAATTTCAAATGGCATTTTTAGAGGCTTTTGCATCTGAACTCTTCATATTCAGTGCTGAGTGTTAGGAGTCATCAGAGCAATCAACTTGTCTCTGTGATAACCTACAGCTCCTGCACTGGAATTTAAGCAGCTGCAGCTTGTTCAAGGTAGGCCTAATGTTGAAAAGCAGCAAAAATGTAAAAGAAGGCTATAAACTTTGAAACTTTCACTTTTGCCACTGAGACCCTTTATAACACATGATAAATGTGTCGTATTTTTGATAATCCACACAGATTTCAGTTGACGATTCTGTTTAAAGTTATTAATAACAAAATTAAAGGAATGAAAAAAAGAGAAGAATGATCTTTATATTGAAAAGAAACATTAAAAGTGCGATAAGTCGCGTAAAAGAACAAAGTAACTGGCAGGATGCTCCGAGCGTAGCACAGAAAAGCATAGCCTTTGTTTTCGGTTGCGCACCTAAATGGCCAAATAAATACAGAAATATATAAAAATGCCAAGTTGAGGATTCACATAAACACAGTAGATGTAAGTACGGTGCTCTCTCTCTCTCTCTCTCTCTCTCTTCACTTCACCCATTTGAATTAAGCTTTGTATCTTTAGAAACCCAGTCATATTTTTGAATAATCATGGTTTATTCCCTTATTTTCCCCTGAGATGGTAGAAATAAGGATTTAAGTGTTTTACTTCCTGCTTATTATGACGTAAATATCGCCATTTTGCGTCATAATAAGCAGGAAGTCACATTTCATTCGAAAGTGTCGAAACTACAAACTTAGCTCCTCATTATTCAAGGGTGTGGGACCCACCCACCCTACAGGCCTATTACAGATCAGTGGTTGGGACTTCACTTGCAGATACTGAATCAATATCAGCCATCTTGTTTGGAAGCTAAGCTAACAAGTGCTGTGGAGACAGGAAGTATGATAAGGATGGAAGAAACTAAACATGATATTGAAGAAGAGGATTTTGAAATTCTTCTGCTCAAATCTGATGTTCGAGCCGATCTTTACGAGCTGCAGTATAGTGAAGAGCAGCTGAGGCTGATGGAGGAACAGGAGGCGGCTGCCTGTCGCGGTCGAGGAGCCCGGACTGGCTCGAGCTGGGCAGACTGCTGGTGCTTGTCTTGTGCTCTCGCTGTGAACTAATGTTACGAACACAGACAGAGTCCGTCTGCTGCTGAGAATTTCAACGATGGCAATTTCTCCTGGAGGAAATCTCTGAATCAGACGAGCACACGGACGTTGTGTTGTGATAGTTTCGCCTAACTGAAAATCCAGGTATCATGCAGTAATTCACCAAATAGAAAAAAATACAAACAAGGAGTAATTCACTAATGAGTTTGCCAAGGTAACGTTAACAGGGTTTGTTGTTGTGGTAAGAAGGAGGCAGGAACCGGCGAACATTTAAACATTTTAATATTAAATGAACAATTACAAAACGAAAGTATAAGCCAGCAGCCACTTATTGACGACTGCTGTAACATTACACACACCAGAAACAAAACAACATAAAATCAGGCCTGTTTCTCTCTCGATCTGCTGTCGTCGCTCCTCATTTTGTGCTTTCGCTCCTCTGTGAGAGACGTGAGACCGACACGCGCCTCACTGGTGTCTTTCATTACCACTCACGCCACCGGCCTTGCGCAGCGCGCCATCCTCTTACGTCCCTCACCCTCGATCGTCTTGCTCGCCACAGCCAACTAAATGGACATTTTGTGTGAAATGAATTTCAAACTCTGGTGACAGCTAATGTTAGCCTTGTAGACGGAAGAGGGATTTCTCTGTTTGCGCTGTTCCGGAATAGTGGGTGTGGCTTGCGGAGCTGTGCATTGTGGGAGTTGTTGTCTTACATACAAATGCGCCCCTTGGTTATTTTCTGTCTTTTCTCTGTCAAGAGGGCACCAAATTCAAACATTCTTTTACATTTCGACTAATATGATCCACTTTCAATAAAGATTAATGTTGAAATGGGTGAAATGCTCCTTTAATAATAAAATTATATAATTCTTTTACTGTGGTTCTTTTGAAAAAAATGCATTAACCAAAAATGAAAAAAATGGGGGTTTAGTCAAAAAAGGTTCCCGACTCCTTATGCTATAGTAAGACCTATCTTAGAGTGGCCAGTCCCCGACTGGCATTTCAGAGGTTATTGGGGTTTGCCAATTTTGATCAACATTTCATCAGAAACTATAGTCAGACCACTGGCCTCTTAACTGCTCTAACCTCCACCTGAGTCATGTGGTCAGAGTTTCGCAGATGCACCTGTCTTGTCTGTTCCAGATCGTAGTCTGCAGTTCGTTCATTGTTGAGGTTGACACTTCTAAGGGGGTTGTCGTCTCTCAGCGATCCTCTCAGGAGCTTGGCAGAACAGAATTATAATACCGGTAAACAGGAGCTGCTTGTGGTTGGGCTGGCATCGGGTAAGTGGCAACACTAGTTAAAGGGGATGGCAGAGCCCTTCTTGGTCTAAACGGATCATAAGAATATTGGGTACATCCATAAGAGGTTGAACTCTCGAAAGGCCAGATGGGCTCTCTTCTTTGATCGGTTCTGTTTCACCCTTGTACATGCCAAGTTTTTAGAATATTAAGCCGGATTTTCAATCTCATGAATAATGATGATTTAAAAACTAATAATAATAATAATAATAACATCTAGTAAAAATTATTTTAAAGTTTTCATACATGTTTTATTTTAATCAGTATACTTGCCAAAAATAAAAGGTGTTAAATTTTTTATTTAATTACATTTTTAAGATTAACTAAATTTTTAGTTTTATTAATTGATTTCACCACCACCATTTTTAAAGTAAATTTGTATTTGTCTTTACAATGTTTTAATATTCTCTGTAGTCCTGACAGTAAAATAAACCACAATAAATTATGAGTGGGGAAAATTTTTTTAGGGATGGCTGACGCGAAACTGACGCTTTGTGAGATCCCGAAGCGCAGATGATTCGAAACACTATAGGCTCGTTTGAGATGAGCAAAATCTGCGCAGAATCGATCACCGGTGATCAGCGCGAGATGCATGCCGGTTAGAAATGTGTTTTTTTTTTTTTTTTTTTTTTTTTAAATGCTTTATTTAAACATTCAGTTTACAGAGTAAAACAACATAATAATAACATCAACAACATAATAGCACAAAAAAGAAATTAGACAACGATAAACAGGAAAAAAAATAAAAATAAAATAAAAATAAAAAAATAAAATAAAAAGAGGGCAATACATAGGCTAGATGAAAATAAATCTAAACATTTAATAAAGTAAAAAGTTTGTAGGACTTACAAATTTTACATGTTTTGAGTGCTTTTGGGTTAAGAGAGGAAGAAATTGTAGTAAAGTAATGTTTTATCTCATGCAAGAACACCAGAAAAATTGGTTTACAATTTGAAAACTTACACTTGTGAATATAAAATCTACACAAGAAAATAAGTAGATTTATAATAAAGCAGGCATTTGAATCAGCTTCAAAAAACCCAAAAATAACAGTTTTGGGATTCATGGAGAAATTCTTCAAGATATTGCTTGAGATAAAACCACTAACATCTTTCCAAAGTTGCCGAGTAAAATTGCATGACCAAAATAAGTGAAGAAGAGTTTCAGTGTCATTCTGACAGAAAGAGCAATTTGTGTCAAAATGAGATCTAAATTTTTTCTTAAGGAAATTTTTAACTGGGTAAATATTATGAGTTAATTTAAAGGATATTTCTTTGATTTTATTTGTGAGGAGAAACCTATGTTGCATGGACCATATTTTTTGCCAATTTAAGTTATCAAAAAGTCCATTCCAATATGACACTGCAGGAGGGACAGAAATAATGTTCTCAAGGAATAGAACTCTTACTTTATAATTTCTTCCTTTTTTTTCAGTGAAACATATCTCACCAATAGGAGTATTGACAGGTTCAGGCAAAGATAATGAACTCAAAGAGACCCGGTTAGAAATGTGTCCGAGAACGGTCCGTCTGGCTCTGATGTCATGTCGACGTATGTCAAAAAACTCTCGCGAGCGCAAGGCGGAAGGGTCGGATTCTGCAGTCGCGCGCAGTTGCTCTCCACCGACTGCGCTGATCAAAAGCATGATGGGAAACGACTTGCTGACGACACTGCTTAATGCTCATTGGTTTAAACAACAGTGATGTAGGTAAATTCCATATTCATAAAGCTAAATTCTCCAAATAAAGGCCATGTTTTAATTTTTTTTTCAAATTGAAACTGATATATATTGTGAGTCTCTTAAACGGGTTAAAAATAAGAAAGCTATGTCAGTAACTCAAATATACTTTAAAATTTTCAAGTGAAAATTAGGAAAATTTCTCTCATTTTATAGTTGAAGTTTGTAAGTCTGTCTATTTAAACTAAGCTTATTTTTATTTATTTATTTTTTTATTATTAATTTTATTCTGATGTTTATTTATTTGTCGCTGTATAATATTTGTTTCACAAATTGTAGTGCTTGTATGTTTGTCACTTGCATTCTAATAAAAAATAAAATAAATAATAATAAAAAACAACAGTGATGAATTGTTCTCTTTTAAAATGTTTGATTTTAAAACTGATATCATGTTTTATGTACATATGGGTGAATAAACTCTCTGACAGTGCCATATGGGTTATTATGTGATGTCATTTTTATTAAAAAAAAATATAAAACACGTCTGTATTAAATAAAAAATGATTGATAAACACATATTTGGAATGTAGCCTAATTAAATAGCAAGTACTCTGGGTGTCTTGTTCATTATATTTATTTTTATATAAAAGCAACCGAACTTAAATCACATCCAGTTTATTAGCAACACGTGCACGAGCGTGAATCCCGTGAATCCCGCGATATCAGACTTTGATCTCACAGGTGTCTGATTCACTGCGAGAACCGAGATTTGTCCGGCTTGAATGCGCTTTTTTCACTCCTCCTCTTACTGCAGCCGCCTACTCTCGACTACAATGCAGGCGAGGCGAGGCGCATCTCAAACAAGCCTACTGATCCGAAGCGTGATTCAAAACACCTACGTCACGTGACTACGGCTAAACGAAGCTAATTTGTGTTGCATCAGGTGTGGCTGAGCCTGCCTGCGCCCTCCTACGCACTTCCGCTCAATTTCATTTCCCTTCTATGTGCAAATGAAATGTACTAGAGTCTGGTTGAACCAGGCTAGTGGAGTGCTCCTCCGACCGCCGAATCAGGGTTGAACCATCTGGCAAAAAGACGCTGCGCTTACAAAAGTGTTTGGGAATCCAGAAGGATATATTTATATTTATCTTGTTGTTACACTAAAGCCCTGAGCGAGAAAGACAACATGAAGCCGACTGTGCGCGCGAAGGCCGACGGTTATGCAGAGGCTCTGCTCAAATACCAAACCACCCTCACTGCCCAGACGTTTTACGCATCTTCCAACAAACAACTCCACTTTCCAAGTATTTGCAAACTAGTGGAATGGATTTGCTCACGGCCCATCGCTTTGTCACAAGCACACAAGACAATCTGAAAAAATATGCAAGGGATTTTAAGGGGGTAAAGACAGCAACAGATGCATTTGTGCAATGGGCCAATGGAGAATTAAATGTGTGTGAGACAGACAGAGGTGGAACATGCTGCCAAACCGGAGACCAAAGAAGACAAAAAAGATGCCAGGCGAGTTATGTGATGACACAACCATATCAGATGCTGACAGCAAGTAGGCTATGAGGTACTGCACAATGTCATTCTGGATAGCATTATTGAAAGTAGCCTATTTCCCGACGTTTCGCTGAAAACAGAGAACAATACACAGATTTCGCCCTGCTTGATCCCCAGAATTTCCATGACTTGAAATGTAACGGTGTACCTGCAGACGCACTCAATGCCCTCAGCGCCAAACTGATCAGACACGATAGAAGGGCAACTCCTGAGGCCTTACAGGGTGAACTACTTAGCCTGGCTACACACTGGGACAAGCTGAAGTTGTCTGTGCGCGAAGACTATCTTACCAAGATGAGTACTGAGGATGGAGATGATGAGCAGACTCCAGATGAAGAATGTGTCTGTTGTTATTATGTCCTAGAAAGGTATAACCTGCTCACTGACTCCTACCATCTAATCGGACTTGGATACAAGTTTCTGTTAACTCTGTGACGCAAGTTGCATGTGAGCGAAGCTTTTCCACGTTAAAATTCATCAAGACTCGATTAAGGAGCACAGCGGAGGTGCATCTTGAAGCCTGTATGTTGATGGCAATCGAAAAAGAGACTGGTTTCTTTGGACACGGATTACAACATTGAAAGGGTAGCGGAGAAGAGCGCGCTGATGCAAAAAGGTAGGTCATGCTGCTTTTTATCATACCCGTATTTTCCGCACTATAAGGCGAAAAAATGTTCTAAAATAGGTCATTCGTTGAAGGTGCACCTTATAATCCGGTGCTTTTTAAGTTTGAGACAATTTAAATTGTCTCCACGTGCTCTCTGCGCAAAAATTCAGTTAGATAGAAGTCTAGTGGCCTAATAGTTAATTTACTTTTTAATTTAACACGTTAATAGGCCTATAGCCAAATTTTTATTTATATAAGTAGGCCCATTGATTTGTTTAATTTTTCAGTTTTTGTGTATGTGTGTGTACAGATGATATAGGCCTAAGCCAATTTAAATTTTAATAGTGGGCGCTGCGCAAAAATCAGTTAGCCTTATCAAAATCTGGCCTAATAATTAATTAGCCTACTTTTAAACATTTATGCATATATATTTTTACGTTTTTGTTTATATAATTTTTATTTATATTATTAGGCCCATTTATTCGTTTAATTTTACAGCAGTTTGTTGTACATTATAAGCCCATTTAATTTTTTATTGTGCGCGTTGAGCAAAAGTTCAGTTATCAAAATTGAGGCCTATAGTTAATTTACTTTTAAAACTTTTATGTATATTTTTGTTTATATAGCCTAATTTTTATTCATTTTATTAGGGCCATTTATTCGTTTAATTTTACAGGACTATTTGTGTATGCAACATTCCTGTTCTTACATAGGCTAGTCCTAATTGTAGTTTGAAATGAAACATTTCTGTTTGTAAAATGTTGTTGTTGGTCTTTAGTTCTTTGTAAGGTAAGGCCAAAACCAAAAAGTGAAATACAAATAATGCAGATTTATTTTTCGATTTTTATGTGTGGAGCGCGAAGCAAACTGCGTTGAGCGCTGAACGGGGAGCGCTTTATGAAAATTCGTGACGCGCGAGCAGCGCCGGGGACAGTGATTTATACGAGGTTGAACTGGCCGTGTGACAGAGCGGGCATAAGATGGACAAGAGTGCGAGTTCGCGGGTGAATTTAATAACTCGGAGCGTTATTAACCAGTTGATCCATATATAAGAGACGCACTATCGTTT